ATGTGCTTCTTAATCTACTGTGGTATTGGTGTGGTGAGCAGGCAGGTCTTTCAATTTCTCAAATACATTGAAGGAAAATTTTCTAAGAGTTAATCACTGCTGGTAAGAGGCCGAGAGGGACGAGTAGGAGCTCTTTCGGATGGTAAAATCTAGTTAGTTACAGTCTTCCTTGTGGTGGGCAACATATAATCATTAATGGCGCTTTGGATTAATCGGTGTAATAAGGTGGCCTCCGCATCATTCTCGAAGCTGATGTGCAACCTCGGAGGTTTAGCGGCAATACAGCGGCAATTTGCTAATGGATATTACCGGTTATTAATTCGACTAATTGGATATTGTTTATTATGCAAAATTGTATCACAGTACTGGGTTATCCCTATTTATTGCTTTTACAGAATTAATTTCTCTACAAGGTGTTACCACGCAGGTTGAGGTTATATATATTTTCATCAAAGCCCAAACATAAGACAGAGCCCCAAATCTGGGATAGCACCCTGACTCACTAGTTTCAGAGCTCTTATAATTGAAAGTGGGATCTGGCGTTTCTTGCTGGGTGGCATGATAGTTTCCAGGCCAGTAACCCATCCTTAAACTTAGGAAGAACAGTATTCAATCCTTATGTAATATACGACGCTCTTGGACCTTTTGTGCGTTATTGGAAAGCTCCTAATATGATACTTATGGAATATCCGCTTATTTTACATTTAGCTCCAAATCTCTCTTCATGCAATACATTAGCCTCTCAGCTTATCGTAAGAACTCAAATCTAGCCATGTATAATATTCGATCCAGCGGCATCCTAGATAACCTTACAACTTTGCGCCGACAACAAAGTTTGTGCCCTGCACAACAGACTTGCCCACACCGGCCGCAGCAATCTTCAACAATTCCCGCTCCTGGGAGGTGACGCCTTTTAACACGCTGGCGTCGACGCTTTCGGCGCTACCATCTCTGGCTAAACGCACTGGAAGAGCAAAGTAGTCGACCCCGTATGTCTGGGAGACCTGCTTACCACCCTCAATACCCGGCAAGTAGACATAAGCGGCATCAGTGAAACTTCTGGAGCGGGTGACGGACTTGCCGCTCTTGGCCTGGATGATCAACTCAGCAAAACGGTAGCCAGCGTGGGCCATAGACAAGGTGGCAGAGCCAGCACCGTTCTTGGCCTGAACCACTTCGTCCCCACCAAACTGCACGCGGTGGATATACTTCTTCAACGTCTCTTGGGGCAATTTCGCAATCTGGGAAGCGTGCTTGGACGACTTGGATAACAAGGGTACAATAGTGTCCCCAGAGTGGCCACCCACAATGGCAACTTCGCCTCTCAAGACTTCTGGGTCCTTGGCACCAATCAACTCCGCCAAAAAGGTCTCGGCTCTGACGGAGTCCAAGGTGGTGACACCGAACAACTTCTTGGGGTCAAATACACCATGCTTTTTCAACTCTTCCGCCGCAATCGGTACGGTGGCATTCACCGGGTTAGAGATTATGCACACAACGGCCCGTGGGCAGTGCTTGGCAACACCGGCAACTAGAGATCTCACGATCCCGGCATTGATCTTGAACAAGTCGTCTCTAGTCATGCCAGGCTTTCTCGGCACTCCGGCCGGGATGATCACCACCTCACATCCGGTTAAGGCGCTGCCCAAGGCCTCCAAGTCATCCCTAGAGGCGGGAGCGTAGCCCTTAACGATGGCAGGGGTGCTTATGTGCGATAAATCGGCCGCAACACCGGCGGAATTGGCAATATCATACAACGACAACTCGGAAACAAGTGGGTTCAACTTCAACAAGAGGGATAATGGCTGGCCGATCCCGCCGGCAGCGCCACAAACAGCAACTTTAACCATAATGTGTGTATAGATTATAAAAGTATGTAGTTTCAAGAGAGAATGGTGTGTATAATCTCTATAAAGGAGAGAGAAGGTGAAAGTGGGGTCAAAGGACTTTTATAGGCAATGTAGCGGGGCAGAGTGCGGAGACGGGTTTAACCAATGCCATCACATGCAATAGGAGTGGCTGCCGCCTTATACCAATGTATCCTGTGTAAGACGCTCCCCTCACGGACGTTTCGGCATGTGAAAAATAAGAAAAAGGAATTCCTGATCCAGCCGAGAATCGAACTCGGAGCCTTTTCGGCACATACACGGTTGATAACAGCCGCTAGAATGTAAACGAAACGTAATAACCGTTATACCACTAGACCGTAGGACTTATGGGAAGAAAAATTGTATTTTGCCAAGGAGGCGAAACATAAGATTTGTAGTGTAGGTAAAGGCTTTTACCAAGAAAGCTAAAATGAGGCAGTACTATGGTATTTGAATTTAGCCTCTAATTAACTACAATTCCGACAAGTAATTTACGTCTATAAGAGTGCACAATATTGTTGGGTGAGCTTCAAACAGCCTGAAATCTTCCATATTGCCAACACAGTTGGTGAGACATTAAAAGGATCGTTATCTTAAAGTGACAGTATTGGTTAACTAGCTCTACTATAGCTTTTGATTGGTGAGCTCTAATTTATATAATACCCATTGGCTCATCGCTATAACACATACAGATTATGGTATTGGTGGATCTTATACCAAGTACCTACGAAGCTTGTTTATATAGATTCCAATTTTACTACGAAGGAGAAAGAGTTTTGGAGAATCAATCGTTCACAGTACCAGTATGTGTAAGAAAATTTAGTGGATACCACTGTTGAAGCTGAGGTAATTAGGTTGAGCTAGATGGTATGACATGAGAAAGTTGAAATGTACATCCGACATTTATAATACAGGTGTCAACACCATGACAATGCTCGGCTCCAAGACAGCACTTGTTCTTAGTCTTAGCTATACCTCTTAATAAATCAACCTTAATTTTATATGATATCAGATCTTAACTTTAAAATATACTATACTCTCCATATATTACCATGTTTCTTCCGCCCCAATCCATAATCGCATCAAGTGCCAATCTAGCTAGTTTCTTCATTATTGTTCTCTTTATCCACCTTGCCCAACTTTGGCCAATACATTATGGATCGATACAATTCACTGATTGAGGGTTATATTCGATGCAATATCAGCTTTCAGTCTATTAAATGTCTATCACTATCGGTTCGTTTAGTTTCGTTTCTTTTGAGGCCCACTCTTGGCGACTCTCAGCATCATATCTCTATACTCGTCCTCAAATGACAACGGGGCAAGGTAGAATGAATCCTTGACGTAAAAGTACTTTACCACCGGCCAGTTGAGCACCCATCCAACCAACCCGTACTGTCTCGCCAAACAGGCAATAATAAAGTATACCGCACCTACACAGGCGCCGACAGATACTCCTACAGCCACTTGTTCCACGGTGTGATACCAAAGATACACTCTGCTGGAAACGACCCCGACGGTCGTCCCGAATAAAGTCAAACACCCAGCAACCTTCTTGTGTGTGTTCAATCCTTTCCACTGGTAACAGATAGTTAAGGCCCAGAAAATCATGAAGTAACCCATAAATTGTGAGTGAGCGCTTGGCATCCCGTAACTCAAACTATTAAAGATCGTCTGTGGCGGAGCGTTGGCGTCAATGCGACCTTTGCCGAAGTTCTCGTGAAACGCGGGACGCGGCTGGCGGAAGACCTTCTTCAAGACATGATTGAAGAGTTCATTGATGATGTGGCCCCCAACAATAACCACCGGCTGGATTTCACGCGTGAGCAAGAACCACGAGAGATAAAACACCATGACAAAGATGGGGAGAAGCGTGAAGAAAACCGATACGAGCCCAAGGATGTCATTAGGGTCATAGAGCACGTGAGTGTGGTCAAAGGCAATGGGATTGTAGTCAGACATTATACAGCAAAATCTAAACCCTCTTAAAGATCTTATGTTGTAGTTCACTCTTGTCGGATACAAGACAGATTTCGAGTTGAATCACAGATTGCCAGGTCTCCTGTACGGTGATATCGAGGTTTTTCAGTACCTGTGCAAACCATAGGAGGACCTAAAGTACAGAATTCGATAAATTGATAAGCAGACGGTCGCGGAGTAGAATATCACAGTATCATATTTTTGTAGCTGAAATTAAAATCCGTAGATCTCTTGATTCTATTATCTGTTATTATGTGAAAAATGTATATTGTCCGTTGGAGTCACGTTATGTGTGTCAACTGTACTGTAGGATAACCCGGACTCTTGAAATTGGGGGTCAAAGCTAAAGCGGAAATGATGTGCTTCAAGTTCATTAAAATATTGCTGTGATCATATATTTTTGTAGCTGGATGTAAATTAGTGAAACATGTACAGAGCAGTCAACTGGGCTTACCGGGGATAGCGCCAAGTTTATTTCAGACTGAGGGGTGCAGGCAAAGGCTAGATCGCTTCTTTGAGATTTCTCAGGGAATGTTTATGAATTACACCATACGGTCAAAGATTATATGAGATAATAGAAGATCAAGAGATCCATAGTAGGCAAGACTAGGGTGTATGGTGCTAAACTTTAACGGAGAAAGTCAGATTAAGTTCAAAGCTTACGGGAGGGTTTTTCTGAAATCGGTGAAAACTGTTGACGATGAGTTCATCCCCCTAGAGCCAGATGTATTTACCAGTTTAAAGTTTTCAAAGATGAAAGAAACAATTCAGGATTAAATAATTAGATGTAATTAACCTAGGTATTGCATGGGATTAGTACATAATTTCGAAACATTATGTCTTACGGAGGAACTCGCAGATCTTGTGGTACGACCATGTCTTCGCATAAAAGTGGTAGTTGTGAGTATAAAACATAAACTCATCATGCCAACCATTAGGCTCTATACTCACATCAGACTCCTTAATCTTGGCAACCCTGGTGAATGCAAGGATGTCATCAATAGGAACCTCTTTTTCACCAGCAATCACCAAAAGCTTCTCCGGGAAGACACCATCCCAATCTGATGGCTCGGAGTACAATGGACTGAGAGGCAATGTCTTTCTAAGTTTTTCATCGGGGTGGTACATTTTAGCCACTAGTACCAGGGTATTGAAGGAAAGAATATCGCTCTTCGCATTAGTCACGAATGACCCTTTCAATTTAGGCACTAAACACGTGGCGGGTGACACAAGGATAGCAGCTTGGGGCTTATACTCGGGTGGGATGGTGGTGATTATCGCTTCAATTGGAGTTTTGATATGTTTCATCAACACGATAGCCAAATTCCCACCGGCTGAATCACCTAAAATGGTGATGTTTGTGTTACCTTCCTTAACTGCCAATTGGTTGTAAATGTACGCAGTTTGGTTTAAAGCGACAGGATACTTGGCCTCAGGAGTAATGGAGTAGTCAACAAGTAGGATGGATAACCTGTCATTGAGCAAGCCACGGTATATGTAGGTTAACGCCTTCACCTGACTGTCGAATGTTGGGAAAAAGAAGCCACCCCCATGTAAGTAAAAGATAATCGGGTCAGATGGCTTCCTGTCTGGAGCTTCCACAATCCACGTTGCATGGCCCAAACCGTTATTCAGGTATGGTTTCCCATAGTTTGGAAGAGGGCGATACCCCCTCTCATGCTCAATGGCTTTCTTCGCCTTAGCCAAGGTGTTTGGAAGGGTATTCCACCGCTCAGAGGCCAGAAATAAGTCGTAAGGTTTTGCATAGTTCAGAGCATGGTTGACTAAAACACACCTGAGCAAGGTTCTGACATCCAAACAGCGAATGTTTGAGCCCACTGTGAAGTGAAACGCCAACTGTTGAACAATCTTTGGGAAAAGAAGAAGGCATGAAGCGATAAATTTCAAACTAAGCATTGGGGGTAAGTGGTAGGTGGATGGCGCGCGAAAAAGTATATCTGAACAAAAGAAGCTAAGATGAGGGGATGTTTAAGTATTGGGGCCATCCGTAATTGTATGTATTTCAGGGGCGCTCGGAGTTGGCATGTGGTATAAACTATGGCATTCATGCGCCTAACAGACGCAAATCTCTAAAGGAGACGCAAGTAGAATGGCATGTAAGTATACTGGTTTACATCGCCGCCGAGGACTCATACCCCCTTAGACGAGCATGGTTATAGAGAGGTAATAACAGTTTTAACAGTATCCTTTGGAAAGACTGTCCCAATGTTGCCAGTCTACACTCTCAACTATAACCCCAGCGCTTAGAGTATGATTCATACTCTGGTCCAATGTGTGTTCATTTCTATCTAGGGAACAACTGGTTTGGAACTCAAGCTTATAACATGAATTGTCGAAAGTATTTTTTTTTCTCCTATAATAATCGTCATAAAAAAGTTGTATATGTATCAGACTTGAAATATGGAATAATGAAAACGGCATATATATATATATTATTTAAAAAGTTTACCTCATCCACGTTACATTAACTTGGACAATCTGGTATACAGATAAGGACGGCGTAGGCTCACGCGACTAAAAATTACAGCTCAATGCGCCAATTTAGTCCCCTTATATCACTCAATTAAACCCCCTTCAAATTCATCGAGTTTAGGTGCCACACCACCAATTATTTCTCTTTTTACAATTCTTTTGAAGATCCCACTTCCACCTATTCCACTGCTTTCAGCCAGCTCACGCCCGTTCCTGGGCATGATTCCTGCATACCGGCAAGACTTACCCGGCCACACCGCCATTCACCTTTGTTCAAACCCTGTATAACCATCACTGATACAACATATAACGATGAAATTGATTGAACCTGATTTAAATAACCTGCTTCAATTTCTTAAAAAAACTGTTGTTTACCCACCTTTCCAAAGACTTTAGTCACCGGTTCGCGGTGCTCCCTGTGCACTAACTAATTCACACATGCACTTTTCTTTTTAGCAAAACAAAAAAGCCAGAGCAGCGCATATGAACACATACCACCGCTTCTTCTTTTACACCATTGTACACGGGACCAGCGATGAACATTTCCCAGATCCTCGAAAACACATTTAATCCGACCCAGCGAGCGGAGGCGGAGGCTCAGTTGGAGGCGGCGGCGAAGGACCACTTTGTGGCGTATCTCGGTCTGCTCACCGAGTGCTTGGCCACTGCGACACAGCGCACGGACGTCAGAATGCTTGCGGCACTCTGTCTCAAGAACCAGCTCACGGCAAAGGATGTCGTGACGCAGCAGGCGTATACGGAGCGCTGGATCGCGTTGGACACGGGCGCAAAACAGCAAATCAAAGAGACGGCGTTGGGCGCTCTCTTGGCGCCAGAGACGCCGGTGGCGAACGCGGCGGCATCACTTGTCGCAGCTATCGCCGCGATCGAGCTCCCACGCACCGAATGGCCAGAGCTCATCCCGATGATTGTTGAAAATACCAAGACCGAACAGCCGGTCAATGTCAAGCGTGCATCGCTCCTCACGATTGGGTACATCTGCGAGGCTGCGGACCCAAGCGACCCCGGAATTGCCGCACAGGCGAATGGGATCTTGATTGCAATCGTGCAAGGCGCACAGGCGCTGGAACCGTCGCGCGTGGTGCGTCTCACCGCGCTCAATGCGCTTGTTAACTCGTTGGAATTCATCCGGCTGAACTTCGAGAAGGAGGGCGAGCGCAACTACATTATGCAGGTGGTGTGCGAGGCCACACAGGCTGAGGATACAGATATCCAGGAGAGTGCGTTTGGCGCGTTGGCGCGCATCATGGCGCTCTACTACGTGTACATGCGCGTGTACATGGAGAAGGCGCTTTATGGGCTCACCGTCAGCGGGATGCAGTCCACGGATGAGAAAGTGGCGTGCATGGCAGTGGAGTTTTGGTCGACAGTGTGCGAGGTCGAGCTCGACCTCACGTTCCAGGTCCAGGACTATGGCGCTGCGGACTATGACAACTACAACTTCGCACTTGTGGCCATCCAGGACGTGTTGCCGACGATGTTGGCGTTGCTCACTCGCCAAAACGACGATGCTGAGGACGACGATTGGTCGGTAGCCATGGCTGCGGGGGCGTGTTTGCAGTTGTTCGCGCAGAACACCGGCAACTATGTGGTGCAGCCAGCGCTCGCGTTCGTCGAGTCTAAGATCCAGGCGCAGGAATGGCGCGACCGCGAGGCCGCCGTCATGGCATTTGGCTCTATCTTGGACGGCCCGGACCACGAACAGTTGAAGACGTTGATCACCCAGGCTCTTCCACCCATCTTGAGCCTCATCAGCGACCCGGTCTTGCAGGTCAAGGAGACCGTCGCGTGGTGTCTCGGCCGCATTGCTGACCTCGTGGTGGACGCGATCGACGTCCAGACTCACCTTCCGCACTTGATGACCGCGTTGGTTCAAGGCATGCAAGACCACCCGAAGGTGTCTACCAACTGCTGCTGGACGCTAATGAACCTCTTAGAGCAGCTCCAGCCGGAGGGTGCCCAAGAGGAGACTGGTGTCTTGTCGCAGTACTACGAAACCTGTGTCCAGGTGCTTGTCACTGTGTCTGGCCGTGCCGACAACGAGCATGCCGCCAGAGCATCCGCGTACGAGGCCCTCTCCGCGTTTGTATTGTACGCCGCGAACGACACTACCCAGATCGTCAACGGTGTGGCCACCGAGGCGTTGAGCCGCTTGGAGGCTACTATTGCCATGGTCGCGTCCGTGTCGTCTATTGACGACAAGCGCAACTTGGAAGAGTTGCAGACGAATATTTTGGCGCTCCTTACCAACGTCATCAGACGGGTTGATCAAGGCGTCGTGCCAGTCGCGGACCAGCTCATGACGCTCTTCTTGAAATTGTTGGCGACGGAAGAGCAGAAACAGCAAGGCGAGACGTCGCTCGTTGAGGAAGATGTTTTCTTGGCTCTCTCCGCGCTCGCCAGCGCCACTGGTGCGGGCTTCGCTAAGTACTTTGACGCATTTTTACCGTATCTCACGCGCGCGTTGGAGAATACTGAGGTTCCGACCTGCAACACCGCCGTGCGTTTGGTCGCGGACGTGTCTAGCTCCATGGGTGAAGCGATCTTGCCATATGTGGGTGGTTTGATGAACATTTTAGGCGCCAATTTGAGTAACGTTACTGTCAGACGCGAGTTAAGACCAATTATCTTATCGTGTTTTGGTGACGTTGCCACCTCCATCGGCACTCATTTCACGCCGTACTTGGAGGTTGTGATGAACATCTGCCACCAGGCCGGCGCCATGGAGCCGGAAGATGCCTCCCCCGAGACTATTGACTATGTTTACACCGTTCGTGAGGCCGTTTTGGACGCCTACGTCGGGGTAGTTGCGGGACTTGCGGACCAGGCTGAGGCGCTCTCACACTACATGGCCAATATCTTTGGCTTTTTGGAGAGCTTAGCCAAGGACGCGAGTCTTATGACCACTGACAACGTCGCACGCTCTGTGGTGGGTTTGATTGGTGACTTAGCGGTCATGTACCCGGACGGTAGGATCAAACAGGCGTATGCTCAAGAATGGGTTTCTGAAGTGATCAGAAAGACGAGGAGCAACCCGCAGTTTTACCAGGCGACGAGGGACACTGCAAGATGGGCTAGGGAGCAGCAAAAGAAGCAGCTTCTGATGTAAGCATCGTTACGCCAACAACGATGGATGTTTTCGTCTTGAATAGTTCCATCATCTGTCGAGACATCTCATGGTTTAAGGCAGGTTCTCAAACCTCCAACTAAGGCATCTGAAGGTCACTTCCACATCACCTGACGATATCTATGTGCATATTTTCTATTTTTCAGTCATTTTACCTCTTTTTCTTCCCTCCTCTCTCTCTCTCTCTCTCTCTCTCTCTCTCTCTCTCTCTCTCTCTCTCTCTCTCTCTCTCTCTCTCTCTCTCTCTCTCTCTCTCTTTTGTTTGTTCCTCCGAACACTCTTTCTATGCATATCTCTTTAATGAACTTTTTATTATTTTACTTCATTTCTCGGAACCTTATATATTTCTCGTGTCAATATGGACAGTACGCTTCAACGGACGAGAAAACATTATGTTTAATCGTCGTGTAAGGTATATTTACTGGTGCTTTACAATGAAACTTGAGGCCTGATCAACCTAACTTGCCAACCGCAATAGCTTGAGTGATAAAACAAAATTGTTTGTATCTCGATATAAGCTAAAATTCTATAGTGAGGTACATCCAAAGCAGTTTATTATTACCCAGAAATCTGTTCCTAAGCGAAGTGGGATAGAGTAATATGTGATTCAATGTAATCTTGGCCCATTGGTTGACTTCACGTTGCAAGGAAGGCAGACCTCGTACTAACAGCAAAACTCTGGTGTATTACTAAAATTCGAATTGAAAATTAGAACCAAGTTGATTTCAAAGACATTCAGTTATGTCCTTTAAAACCCCGAGATCGATAATAGCATTACAGAAACCGTTAAAATCCGGTATTAAGAACCAGATCATTTCAACTTCAGAAGGACCCTTTCGGGGGTATTCTAAACTGGTTTTAACCATCTCCGACGCTAAAATACGTTAGTACCTGTTAGACAAGTATCTTAAGGGGTGGCACTGTAAGCATGTTGAATCGTTCTGAACGCAAGTAACTTCGAATCAAGTTTTTTTTATCCTTCGAAATGCTACGAGCCCCTTTTGTCCAGATACCAAGCTGAAGTAGTCACTAAACAGAAACTATTCTGTTCATCCTACGTCTACCAGGCATTGACGTAGTAACGCTTCCCGAGTCGCATAGGGGTTCATTACGAATCTCACTTGTTACTCCACTTCCTTCGATACAGATAGCATTATACACATTTACATTGCAATTATGGATATATAACTTTGATTAACTTCCTGCGCTCGGCCTCGCTTATTCTTCCACCCCGTGGATCGGAATCCTCGTCGCGGTATTCGAATACGCATTAAACTTGATCTCAATCAACTCACTCGTCGGAAACTTTAAGTACGGAATCTCGTAGCACGAGCACGCCATCAAGTACCCGTAAAACACCCTTAACACCGACTCGTCTGCAATGATCAACAAATCGCCGCTCATGCGCTCCATCTCTAAGATAAGCGGCTCGATCTTCACAGCCAAATCGTGATACGACTCGGCGCGCGCATAGCGGTGATGGTATGGGTCACGTTTGTGCTGCTTGTAATCCTCGGGATATTTGGCTTTGATCTCCTTTGCGGTCATGTTCTCCACGTCGCCCGGGTTTAACTGTGTGAGCTGGATCCGTTCGCGCGTAGTAATGCCGAGCTCACGGAACGCCTCACACGCTTCGATAGTGCGTCTGCGTGTGGAAGTCCAAATAACAAACGCGTCGTCGTGGATCCCGTCGGTCGCGTGCGACTTTTGGCGCCCTGCCTCGCCGCTGTAGGGCGGTGGCGTATTGTTCTGGCTGCGGGTGATGAAGTCAAGGCCCTTGGTCGCACCCACATGCGCCAATACGGTCTTGGTCAACTGCTGGGCGTACTGACGGCCCTCGTCGTCCAAGTCAGGGTCACTCTTGAACTTCAAGAAATTTTTGTGGCAGCGCGCAAAGTAGACAGATCCAGACTTGATGCGCGAATTCATCAAAAAGAACACGATGCGGTTGATCAAGTAACCGTAGTGGCTGTTGTTCAATACGAAACGCTCGCCAAAGTTGATCGACTTGATGAAACTCAAGCCCTCTGAAGGATCGATCTCCTGGTAGAACGGCTCAGCGATGTGGATACGGCTGACGTAGTCCGCTGCCGCTTCCTTCGCATCCCAGCCCACATAGTCCGGTGACGACTTCACTGCCTGGCTAATGTTGTTTTCGATAATATTACAGTCCGTCACGAGACTCTCGATAAACAACGTCTTGATGTTACGGCTGGTGAATTGGCGGTCTACATCCGCGCGTTCCTCGGGCAACGCATTGACAGCGTCGTAAATCGCCACCTGGCCCTTGTCGTCGTCAAAAAAGTGCATCACGTCGCTGATGCACTTAGAGATGATGTTCGCACGATACTCCTTACCCTCCGGCGTGTCGGGTGTTGGCTTAAAGTAGTCCTTCGGAATTCCGTCCTTCGCACGGCGGTAGTCGCCCACGTGGAACGCGTGGGTCTTGACGCCCAACCAACGGAGGTAGCGGGTTAAGGACACCGTCAAATGCGTCTTACCACGCGCAGGCAAACCCACCAAGATGATCACCATTGTCCCCGCGTGGAACAAGCGCCCGCTGTCGGTGGAGTACAACTGTGCCGGCGAAATGTGGTCCGCATCGATCGCGCGGTGCACCGCGTCACTCGTGGCGTCCGACAATCGCCGCTCATGGCGCATCCGCTGCGACGCGTCCCCCATAACTGGGCGGCTCGAGTCACCAAACGACCAGCGGTCGCGCGTACGGCCGAAGTTGGAGAGCGGACGGGGTGCCGTGTCTTCGTCTAGTCCGACGGGCGCCGCCAGCAAGCCGGAAAGTCGCTTTCCGTACCGCTCCCCGCCGTTGGTGCCACACAAAAGATCTTCTATTTCGGAGCCGGAGGAAAGGTCGTCGTCGCTGCTGTTAAACACGGGAGTCGTCATGTAGGGAATGTGCAGAATGGGAGGAGTGGGTAGCGCCAAAATGACTAAAGGTTAATAGAAGCAAATAGAAATAATGGAAGACCGATGGAATGACCAGTAAGATACCAGTGTAAAGACCAATAAACCGAGAAAAGACTAGGTAGATAGAGAATGAATTTCAGCGAGAGAAGGAATAGCGGAGAAATTGTTACGGAAATTCCGAGTGATAAGCGATTCGTTCCCGATGCGCGGTAAAACGGAAACGGGTGAAAACTTGGGGTCGCGCGTACAAGCAACCCGGAAGTGTCCCAATCGGGGCGCAAGCCCATATTTCCTCTTCTGGCCGTGACCCAGGTGCATGGACGCATAGCGGGACAATGAATTCTACTATATTGGAGCAATGGCATTGTAATTTATACTGATAATTATTTGATACTCCAATAGTCTTCAAGAATCGATGATGATAATCAAAACTGTGAGTACTTTTAGGGTATCTGCCGGGGTGGTACGCTGAAGTGCGCCTTTGGCTGCCTGATACACTAATTGCAATAATCACTCAGGTACGGTTGAAATATAAAAGGTTAATTCGACAGGAATGATAGGTGCAATGTAACAGCTACTTTAAATACCTTGTGTCGTAGATATATGTTAGCATCGTGAAGCATGACCGTTTGAGTCTGGCCAGAATATTGAACAAGCACCCTACGCCGTTTACCATCTCGCAGATACATTGGACGTTCCATTTAGGTTGTTCATTCGAGAAAGAACCAAGATCGTGGAGGTATTCTAGGGATAAGAGTCAGGGAAATCATAGGCGTCGATGTGCTCCTTCATATCTCGTTTAATCATCCCGCACAATGGCGATTTTTTATAGCTACGTACTTTTACAGGGTCCCCTGGCTGGGTAAAGTAGGACCACCTGGTATTAAGGCGGAAAAAATATCTAACATACTCATACTATTGATATATGTGTTGCCAAATTATAGTGATATCTCCAGGGGGCATATTTAAGGTATAAATTGACAGCTTTCCCCTTGGTGATTTATTTCCGAAGCTGGCTCTGAAGTACCAAGTAAGCTTATGTTGACTGATAGAGATAATTATCTAGAACAGTATAGCCGTATCTTCACCCCAACCTCGAAATCGCTTTGAGCTTCTTGGTAGTTGTTACCACCGAGTTTAGTGATAATTATCTTTTCGTTGTGCTATACCTGTACATTCCATCTCGACAAGTCTTTCCAGTTATAGGTTTGCTTGCTTTTTTCTAGGCTTCTCTAGTAATGGTTTATCTTTATAATGCAAAAATCTCCAAAGGCCTCATTGAGGATTTATTGTCATCATGCACGACTTCTTTGACTCCAGTCTTCACTCTAATGTATTCCTACACTTTTGCAGACATGGTGCTGGCCCATCGGTTGCAAAGAGATCTTCCAAGTATTGGTCAAGTGAAAGGAAGGGAGATGCCACGTTGTAGGGTGCCTTGGTACGTGAATGTGTACTGCCCTTGTTCACCCGAGGTGGCATATTGTAGAACGGATTAACTCCGTTTACGCTGAGGGATTTGGAACGCACAAACTTTTGTCTCAACTTTAGGACCGGTGATACACTTTTGCTTGGTCTGTGGGTGTTAGACAGGCCGACAGACCGATTAAGAGTGATGGTATCCAACGGGGAGGTGTCGTTTGGGGGTACTTGGTTGGTTAGGCGGTTTCGTATAACCGGTGTGAACTCGTGGATATAATTGGTGGTTTTATCACTTGGAGTCGCTGGTATTGTACTGGAAAATAAAGAGGAGCAGAAAGGACTAGATAACTGTGCCAAAGCTTCGCTCTTTATGGGACCGTGCAGCATCCAGGAAATGAGGTCGTTTTCAATCATAACGGCGGCGTCATGGTGCTCCAGGAGGTTATAATTGATGTCAAAATCGTCGAGTTGCAATTCATCGATTGTGGGAAGAGTTACGAAATCTTCGTACTGGAAGTAGTCACATCCATCCTGGAAGATCAGGGCTTCAGAGTCAAGAGATCCTAGAGAGAGGGCCTCCTGAGGTGTACCATGCACATTTGGGAATCCAGTACATGTAGGCGATGAAGTTACCGCATCCCGTGGTGCCAGGAGTAAGGAGCCTGTCATAGCGCGAGAAATTAGTACTAAGGTATGCTTCAAAGGCAACGTTGATTCAAGATATGTTGGTACCCTCTAGATAGGTATGCAAAATAGAAACTTGGGACAGAGGAACTTAAATGTGAGAGAATTTTTGAGGAGAGAGCCATATTATATACTAGTGCTGTACTGTGGGTTTAACTACGAAGCGTCTCTAGGCTAGGAATCCTCCGCTCAAATTAGGTTTCATCTGTTATCAAGGTTAGGGAATTAATCCTTACAGGGGGAAATACCGCTCCTGACATATGTCACACATACCTAGATATATGCAAGGTAGCTCTTTAGTAAGCGGACGCAAGCCTGGGTATGGACACAATTAGTTGCACTCCACTACAGAGGGGGTGAATGATGCATAAGCATTGTGTGTGGAGATTTGGAGCCGCTTGCTTCCGGAGAGGACCAAGGTGGGGAACTTTGTCTAAATAGGTCTTGGGTAAGAGATCTTCCAGGATCGGGACTCGAGAGAGCTTGTCTAGACAACCTTAAAGTATGAGTGTTCTATTGTTTACCTATATGGAATATTCAACTGGGGTCAAAGTTATAAAAATTTTCTCCGCACCATTTGTCTGATTTGTAATAATAAGAGAGGTGTTGTGACTTTGACTGAGGGACAGAAATTCGGGGTGCGTCGAAGGCACTATAATTTTTTACGTAGTTTGAGACTGAAGTACAACTCAGTTAACCCTGAGGGAAACACATGCTCCGTGCTGTTGTTTTAGTCTGTCCATATATACAAATCACTCAGGGCATTTAAACTTTCCATGTGCATGTTTAATTGTATGGGGCAACAATCGGTGAATGGGTGGTTCTATGTACGTCTCATGTGCCCTTCCCAGATCTGCAGAAAGGATATGCACGGCTTGCCTGATCTCTCGTAGAAACCCCGAGTAAGAATTAGGAGCTGTGGCGATGTTACTGGACTATATAGTTTGTTGCTATGGCTGTATCAGAAATTTCCTGATTCTTTCCATTTTTAACTATCGCTGCCTTAGCCCCTCAAGTTGTATGCATGCAGGTAGGTGCGTGTAGTTAAGGTAGGCTGGGATCCGATTCATGTTTAAGCCCTTCGAGGAGGTATTTAGCATGGATACACGCACATATGTCGGGGTCCCATCTGGTGTTACACCTAAACTCGGAGTAAGCTTTTAGTCTGATGCCTTAAGCTTCAGCGGTAGAGTGAAATACATGGTAGTTGTATGGGACCACACCACCACAAGAGAAGTAGAGAACAGTTTTAGTCACCTGCAATCAGAGATCCAAGTAAAATCGGGGAGGGAGCGTATAGTGTAGAATATCTAATTATATAAGTCGGTCTATGAAACATGGATTAAAATTCTCGTCTCATTTAAGTCTACCTCACTGCTTCCGAGTCGCACCCACTTGGCTCCATATTTCGTCTAAGCTTAGTCATCTTTTGGATATCAGTGAAAGACTCTGCTCTAGTCGAAGTCGCGGACCGCATACTAAATCACGAATATAATCGTTTCCGAACGATTGTAGAATTATATATCGATGTACTGACCGTTCTTTTACGGTCTTAGGCCAGAAAAGTGGCCTGAGATTTTGTAATTATTTACCATTAAAATAATTAAAACAAATTTAAACCATACTAGTAAGGAATCGAAGTGGAAAACTGATTATTGCGTTATAAACAGTGAATCGAACGGTGGAAATCTAGATAGGGTTTTTGAATTACGCGCGTGTATGATCGATGATTATCGATTGTATTTCAAGGTGGGATCCAAGCTCCTGGAGGATCAATGTCATATATAGGCGAAGTTTCCACATACACAGATGCAATGATACCCTACCCGGTTGTCACTTACCAAACAACTGTATTGGACCTGGCTGCACCAATAATATACTTGTCAGCATAAGAAAATGCTCGAGCTGGAGTTTCATATATTTATACAGATTACCAGTATGTTGCCTTTTCGACGTCAGACTTGTCACAAAACTCGTTTTCTATCCGGAAAGAGTAAGCGTATGTTGTAAATCCAACAACCCAGCTTAGCTAGAGATTGGTTCGTCAATTACCAAAAGGAATGGGATCCAATACTGGGTTTTTTCGTGCCTTCAACGGTCGGACCGAAATATAGGTAGTTAACTATTGCGTCAAGATGTGAATGTGTCATAAGCCGCGGGTGATTATTCAACGGCATTCACTGGATGAGGCAATGGACAAGCTGAGAACGGAAAAGTACGACTGAGTTTGCGGACTCACTTCTCAGGTGCGGAGTCCATCCTTAGTGCCTAACAAGAATATACATCGCATGAATAATACCGGGGATGAAACCCAAAATGGTGAGAAGAATGTTGATATGCAAATCGCTTCCACAGCCAACTTCCAAGAATACACTTAGAGGAGGAAAAATGATGGCTATATGTGGTTAGCGTGACTTCTGGCACAGCATAATCAAGTTAACGTCTTACCAAAGATGACTCGAAAGACATCGGGAAGGGAGAGGGTCATTGTGTGGTAGATATATAAGGGTTTGAGTTATTCTGGGATTAATGACAATAAAACTAATGTACAGTAATTCATGGCGGTGCTATTCTATTTATACTTGGCAACCCTCCTGTATAGCCATGTCGGGCCAAGCATGCTAGGACGGCACCACTATTAACACGTGTATGTATTTTTCGCCATCTCTATAAGATGCATAACCGTATACTTGGTACATTGACCGTTCGTTTGTGGTTCTAGGCAGGAGAAATGGCCGGAAATTTTGTAGTTATTAACCATCGAAATATTTAAACAGGCTTCAACCGTATTAAAAGAACCAGAGAAACTAATCATTGCGTTACAAACTATGAATTGGATAGATGAAACCCTGACAGGGATTCTAAAACTCTGTATGCATTCACGACCTATGACTATCGATCGTATTTTAAGGTCTAAAAGTAGGCTTCAAGCTCCTGGGGGCTTGGAGACTATGTATAGACGAGTTTTACAACGTACACGGGAGCAATCATACTCTACCCAGTTGTCACTTACCAACTGAACTGTGTTGGACCTGGAAGCACCAATACTATACTTGCTAGCATAAGAAAATGCCCGAACCAGAATTACACGTATTTGTACAGGTTACCAGTAGATTGCCTTTTAGACGTCGGATCAGTCGCAGAGCCCGCGAGTCTACCTGAAACGAATAAGTTGCAAACCTAATCTGGCTTTAAGAGAGATTGACAAATCAATTGTCAAAAGGAAACTCAACACTGGGATTTATTCGTACCTCGAATGCCTTCATCGGTCAGACTGAAGTATAAAAAATTAATTATTGCATTAAGATGTAGATATTTTATAAGCCCCAGGAAATTATACAACAGCATTCATTGGTTGAGGCAACGAACAATCTGAGAACGGAAAAGCACAACTGAGTTAGCGGGTTCACGTCTCAGATGCGGAATCCCACTGCTTTAGTCTTTGAAAATGATGTACAATGCGTGAATAATACCAGGGATGTAACCCAAAATGGTAAGAAGAATGTTAAGAAGCAAGGCACCACCACAACCAACTTCCAAGAATACACCAAGAGGAGGGAAAATGACAGCTATATTTCGTTAGTAAGATTTCAGGTACAAAATAATCGAGTTAACGACTTACCAAAGAAGATTTTAAAGATGTCGGAGCAAGTGAGAGCCATTGTGTGATAGATATGTAGGGAGGGGTTGGGTTATTCCAGAATGAATATCAATAAAACTAGTTTACGATAATTGATGGCGGTGTCATTATATTTATACCTAAGTACCCCCTTGTAGCAATGCTAAGCAGAGTATGCAGCAGAAGTAGCAAACAAGTGGATGACTATGCAGCAAAGACGTATGCATACAGACGCCAACGGCTGGATGGAATTGCTCGGGGGTTGCTCCGTTTAGTCCGTGAGCCACCAATACCGACCAAAGTAACGTCAACCTCAATAATTGTCTCTTTATATAAATACCACCAGTGAAAGGAAGACAACTGTGGCTGTGCCATCATCGTGCATCTATAGGAGGCGGAGTGAGGATGGGCAGAGTGCGGAAGGAGTTGAGTCCGCCGTCCTGTGTGATGGCTGTACCGCCGTGTCCTCTCTAGGAATGTCAACAATGGCGGCGCTACTATTAGCATGTGTAAGTATTTTTCGTCATCTGTATCTCTACAAGATGTACAACCTCTCTTTTATCTCGTCAACCACCCAGTCAATGGCTGTGTCGACGTTCTCCCCGGTTTTTGCACTAACGGGAATAATCTTCCAGCTGTGGTTAGTCATCTCTTTCAATTTGAGAATGTGGATGATCTCATCAGTCACTTCCTGGAGTTTACTGGCCCTTCGCGTTTTATCGATGTCCTCTGCGCCAAAAAGGAGGTCGATCTTGTTGATCATGATGAGGAAATTGCATCCGATAATCAAATTGTCCTGTTTGAGAATGTTGAGAAACTCCTCGGCTATCTCGTAGAGTCTCTGTTTGTATGTCGTCCCATCGATAACCCACACCAAGGAATCAGTCTTCTCAAAGTAGTTGAACCAAAACGGTCTGAGGGTGGACTGCCCACCGATATCCCAGATGTTCATTGTGAAGTTTCGGTACAAGAGTGTTTCAATGTTGAATCCCATTGTCGGGGGTATATCATCGATTGACTTCTTGAGCAAGGAGTTGAGGATGGATGACTTTCCTGAGTTGTCAAGACCCAACATGAGAACTCGCACCTCCTTATCCTTGAGCTTCTGTTTTTTGATAATCGTCAACAAGCCCATGGTGCGGTCGTAATGGCGTAGGAGATATGTAGAGGAAGTGTAATTACGTAGCTGTGGGTATCAAATTTTTGGCATGGCTCGGAAAAATCGTGAGCAATCCGCCGTACTCGAACCTTAGCCATACCACAGGTAAACATTCTACAACCCAATAACTTGGATATAATTTTTTTCATTTCTTTCCAGACGTTTAAAGTACAATTTCGTATTAACAAAGTTAAAAAAAGAAGGCAGAAGATGAAGGGAGGAAACTCTGTTTTCGGGTCTAATTGCCATTCCTTTTCAAATTATCAGCAGGAAATTTATTCGGCCTTACCACCCTTTCTGACAATCAAAGCCTTTCTCTGCTTGTCCAAGTACAACTTGGTGATGACAACCTTAGATGGGTGAATGTTCAATGGAACGGAGGCACCGTTGGACTTTTCCTTGGTCAACTTTTCGACCTGGACGGAGAACTTCAATCTGTAGACAGAAGAGATCTTACCTTCAGAACCAGACTTGGAACCTCTGACAACCTTGACTTCGTCTTCCTTTCTGATTGGCAAGGACTTGATACCATACTGGGCTTGCAATTCCTTGGACAATGGAGAGGACATCAAAGCACGACGTTCAACAGAAGAGGAGTTGAAGTAGGCCTTTCTAGCCTTAGATCTAGAAGAAGAAACGTCTGTAGGGTGTTAGTATATATTCTTAAAGGAGTAAGGATCCGTGAAAGTGACAGGCTTCGCCTTGAAGGGGTTGCGTTGACAGAAGGCATAAGGGTCTGATCATTACGAGTAGAGCGTGGGATCACTTCCGTATTGTAGTGAACTGCGCAGCTTAAACAGGGACGTTTGTCCCAGCTTAGTTTAGCAAGGCGGTGATCCATAATTCTCACGTTGCGGGCTCACAGATTCGGTTATCGTTCGGGAATTCTTAGCCTTTGTTCAGTCCTTCTTCAAGCAAGCGGAAACAGTCATTTCAACGGATACTGGTGGGGCAAATGATATGTACCTTGAGAGATTTTAGCCATTTTGATATGTGTAGATGGGAAACGTCTTATCTAAGAATAACAGGTGAGATTTTTAATGAACCATTTTTTCTAATAGCTAAAATTTCACTCACTACTCAGAGTATGGTTCTGGCAGCGGAACGACCTTTCGCCGACGCCACATACTGTTAGTACTAAGGAAGGTTTTGGGAGTGAGGGTAGACAGGCACATAGAGACGGACTGTATGGCGAGAAAATTTTTCCATCTCTGAGGTAAGATTTTCGGTACAGTCACTACTATGCACAGAATCGAGACGATTGTCGTAGTTGTGTGCTGACTGTGACTTGTTTTTCGCTAAAGCCCTAATGTATATCACGTGCATATGCTCTCATATCAAAAATGGTATTGTAAAAATAAAAAAAAGATAGATATATAACCCGAGGCGGGACTCGAACCCGCAATCCCCGCCTTCGGAAAGCGATACCTTAACCAATTAGGCCACAAGGGCAAATATCTTACAAACAATGATTCTATACCTTGTCACAGTTGGTTGAAAAGAGAGAAGGTTAACCCCATTATTTTGATGATTTGGCTTCGAATATCAAAGGGCATAAAATCCATAGATTCGGTATAGGGGTGATATAGAAATACTGCTTCAGTTAAAATCCTTCCAGCTATGTAATGTCTGTTCATTTCCTTCCATAGATACTTCAGTGTTCCTGTCGTATGTTGACCTCTCGTCTTAAAGCGGTCTTCTCCTTACCTCTTATTCAAGACAAATATTCTTCGTCATGGTAGATTTCTTTCTTTATGATTTATCCAAAGGAGTATTCCTCGTTGTTAGAATTATGAATAAAGCTGAGCTAACCTTGAGTCACCCGATTAGCATAAGCCTCTGTATAAACAGCTCTAAGAGTGAGTGCATAGCTGCTCAAATAACTTTGGCCGGTGGATGAAATCCGATCCGAGCTCTGTGTTGGAAAAAGAATAACGGGTGTGAATCCTCGGGGCAGAAGTCTTACGTTGAAGTACAGAAATCAGTCTTATCAACATGAATGTCACGTACATCCTGTGCCCCATCTCCTGCGACTAAAAAGTGAGAGAATATCAGAGCATGTGAGGTATCTTTCACCTACATCCCCAGCTTCTACCCGCAAAAATGAAACACAGTCTCCTCAATTTAGCCGGACTCTCTTTAGGAAAGAGTTTGGCCCCATCGTTCACTGGCCTCAGATTGTTGTCTGTTGCTGCCCTTACATCCTACACAACCAAGCCATGCTTCAACCACTTGAACGTTAGCAACATGTGCTTTAACAGCGGCTTGCGTCACTCCAAGGCCTATTCTACCGCCTCCTCCGTGCAGCCTCCGAAAGCTCCTAAGGTCTCTCTCTGGACCAGATTGTCACGTGCGTCGACCTTTGTGTTTGCCTCGTCGCTCGTCCTTGGTGCTGTGAGCCTAGCGGGGTTTGTCATCTACCTCTTGTTTGCTGAGATATTGCTCCCATCGGGTGAAACGCAGGTGTTCAACAGAGCCGTTTCCTTGATTGAGAAGGATGCGGAGTGCCAGGCCCTTTTAAACTTCCCTGCCGGTGAAAGATTGAAGGCATACGGCGAAACCGACGGCAACAGGTGGACCAGAAACAGGCCCATCCACTCCCAGAAGAAGGAAGGGAAGGATGGCAAGTCGCACTTGATGATGAAGTTCCACGTCGAAACCAACAGTGGCCGCCACGGATCCGTAACCTTGGAGAATATCGAGGACAGTGCCCTCGAGTCTAACTTTGCATATATTGCTTTGGATATTAGAGGCCAAAAGCGCCACTACGTCATTGCTCCGAAGTTCAACACTGTTGCCAGGCATAAGGCGACAGGTCTTTTTGATCTCAAATGGGGTAGTTCCAAGCGCGGGTAAGTTCGTGTAACTGTATATATTCAAAAGAAAAAGGCTACGCATAACTCTTCAAGATAAATACCGTTACCACGGTAGCAACTGTCGCGATAATCTTCCAGCCAGTTTCCAACTTCAAGGCGTCGCTCGAAGTTTGGACCTTGGAATGTAGCGAACCCACTGCGGACTGACTAAGTCGTTTATTCTGAGTCCCTGGGGGTAAACCGTCCAACACGTTCAAGTATTCCTGTCCAAGCTCTTCGGCACACGTCTTCCGGCCCCCACCAATCTTGAAGTTGTAAAACTCTTCGGTGTAGGAGTTTTGGTTCCGCACCGCTCTCCCATCCCAGTGGCACGACTCACTACTCAGGTTCTGGGAAAGGTGGTACGAATTCAAGGCGTACCCCAATCTTTGTTCGAGCGAGCACAGAGAAAACTCCCCGTACTCACCTGTCGCTCCGTCAGCTATAATACTAGAGCAATTAGTCACCTGACAAACCTCACCAAGAAGCACAGGCTTGTCTACCACAGTGACGGGTGAGATTATACATGATAAGCTGGATTGCAAACAGTCACACTTGTCCGAATTAGGGCTCGGTGGGATCTCGGACGATGCCCTCCAGGCGGCATTCTGGGACAGGCACTTGATATATGCAGAAATCTTCGGCTGATAGTCTTTTGCATGCAAAACCTTGGGGTGAACCTTGTGGAAGCCCTGTTTTAAATTTTCGTAATCCGCGAGCTTGACGACCGTACCGTCCTGCTGAATCCTTACCACCCCGTACGCGTTGGTTTCTTCAAAATACATGTATGCGATTCCACCGGACCACACATGGGTCATTCTATCGCTGTATAACGCCTCGATCTCCGTAAAGGGTCTTGGCCGTTGGAGATTGCACCCAAACTCGCTGAAGAAGATAGGAACGGGATAGTCCTGGAAGTCCAATGTACGGTCTCTGTACCCCGAATGAACAAAGCTAGAGTAGCCACACCATTCGTACATGTTGATACCGTAGAAGTCGACTCTTGAATCGCCATCGCTGTCATCGCAGACAAAGTAGTTGGCCACCTTCTCCCTCGTCTCGGCATCATCATTGGATGAGTACCCCACGGGAATCTTCCGGTACTTGGAGGCACTGATGTACATCTTTGTGTCTCTAATCGACGCTTTGACGAACGGAGATGCTGCGGTGGTATTGCAATCGTTGGAAACTTCATTCCCCGCAAAAAAGCCCAACATGTTCGGGTACTTATGCATGGAATCTACCACCGATGTGTATCTGTGAAACAACGAAAAGTCCCACGAAGGGTTCTTCCGGTCTACGGATTGGCTTGGCTCGGACAAATCTGCTATCACGTAGATGCCTGCTTCGCCGAATGCATTCATACACGTATCATGGTCGGCCATGGGATTAATCGAGTACACGCGCACGGTGTTGATGCCCAAATCCTTCAAGTATCTGAGGTCTCTCAAGCATGTAGTGGTGTTGGCCAACGGATCAATATACGCCGTGTCCATGAATCCAAAGTCCCAGTGCTCGTTGCACTCCGCCTTACTTTGTTGGTAAGCTATTCCCTTTATATAGAACTGGGCTCCGGAATCTTTATAAAAGAATTTGTTCCCTTTGATCTCGATGGGCAGAGCGGTGTTCTTATACGTCGCCTCAAGAGCGTTCAACGCGAGGAGATCCTTGACTTCTTTCAGATGGATATCATAGGTAGTGGAAGTGGTAGCCAAGCCGACTAGCGCGAAAAGCGCAAATGATTTAGACCACTTCATGCCAATAACCGTTTTTGATCGCTTTTTTATACGTTTTATTATCTCTCATTTAGTTTGGGCCTTAAGTGGCATCCAAAAGGTATGCGTATCTGCAATTAGGTGCCTGTACGAGTTTCAAAACCGATCGAGTGCCACAAAACCAACCGCTCTACTAGGGGGATAAAAAAAATAACATGTATAATATGTACGAAATGTAATTTGACAAGAAATATAGAAATAAAGGTGGAAGATAAAAATGGTGTTCAAGGTAGAGGAACCTATAAATAAAAAATAAAAGAGGGAAAGGGGGGAAGTTCTCGTCTTGATTTACAAAACTGAGAAAAGTGATAGAATCCAGAGCTAAACGTCTAAGCCTTGGTAGACCACGACAGGAAGGATGAAGTTGTGGTGATGACAGTGGCTGGAGCATTGTCACCGGTATCGTCGTTGTCTTGGAACCTTGGCTGGATAAGACCTTTCAATATGCCCGTAAGATCCCCATTTAATTTGTCGTATATCGTATCCTTCCCAGAGCTTGCAGAGGAAGTGGCGTAAGCAGCTGGACCGGCGATAATACCGACGAAGATAATCATGATGATAAAGTACAAAGTAGCGTACTTTCTCACCATTCTCTTACGCAAACGAGCTTGCTTCAACGAGTAGATCGGTGGACGGATTTGTCTCGAAGGCTTTAACCAGAACAACATCAAAGAGTGCCATCTATCAATAACAGGAATGCACAAGATTGGGAACTGGAAGATCAACAAAATATGGGCCAAGACAAAGTCACCAGCAAACTCAGACATCTCGATAGTCTTAGCACAGAATTCACGAGCTGGTTGAGTCCAGGCCATCCATCCCAAACCAGACCCGTACCACTTACCAGTCCAGAAAGAAGTGTTGGCGTGATCGTTCTTGAATTCACGCGTCAAGAACAAGAGGGTCATGATCTTAAAGAGCAATCTCTGAATGTACACAGTAGTGATGAACCCAATCATCATTCTTGGGAAAGAGAAACCTTCCAAGACCCACATACCCATGAAACAGACGATGTGGATAACAACAGCAACACCATGGGCAAAACCAGCAAGGACAGCACCAGTCTTCTTACAACACAAGGCCAAAAGCGGACCACCACAACAAGCAAGAGCGGAACAGAAGAACAAGACACCCATGTTGATCACAACTGGACCCAAAGCGCAAATCACAACACGCAAGACCGAGTTGACATCTTTCTTGTCATCCGCGCTGACACCATTCTGAGCGTTGATGAACGTGTAGGCCACGAAACACCCAGCAGTGTAGATGATGCACGGAATAAGATCAGCAAAGATAATGTTCGAACGATGAGCTCTGCTAGCATCACCAGCAGCCTTTTCAGAAATGTCACCCACAAGCGCGCGCTTGTAGCCGGTGACCCTGGATCTAGATAAACGAACGTAACCAATCCAAGAGTTTCTGTGCCATTTGGTGTTACCACGAGACAACCATCTGATGAAATCACGGTAGTCAATGAAGAAATCTTGCCACGAGAACTGGTGGGGGTTGAAAATGAACGGAGACCACATCAAAGCGGCCAAAGCAGCCCAGAACCACAACAAAGCAGGCTGCCAGTGAGCAGCGGTACCAAACAACAACATCACCATCAACCTGGCACCCATGTAGATGGAAGAGTCAGCGAAACGGGAGTACAAGATGGAAAACGGAATACGGGAAGTGGCAAAACCTCTACCGGTGGCAATGTAACGAGCACCACCGATAGTGATGTCAGTAATCAAGGCAGAGGCATAGATCTGGGCCACAAACACCTCGAACATTGGAGACAAGGAGGCAAAATGACGACAGAATCTCTGAGTCGCCTTCCAAACACCACGCTCGATCAACTCCTGGATAACCAAAGGAATAAAGGAGATGAAGAAGACAATGAAAATGGACAAGGTGTAACGACGAACCCAATCAATCGCTGGGTCCAAGTTGTAACAGCCAATAGGTTTCAAAAGATCGGTGATAGGCTTGTTCTTATCATAGTCACAAAGGATCGACTCGTGGGCCAAGGAGTTCAAGTTGACCAAAACCAACATAAACATCTGCAAAGACAACTGAATGAACAAGTTGTTGACATGGAAACCAGGGTGAGCGTAGTAGAAGGACAAGAAACGGTCCAACGGCAACTGGGTACCCAAGTAATAGTACTCGCGGGATAACATCTGTTCACCCATACCGGCACCAATCTTAGTGGTGAAATTCAAAATAGAACCGAAACCCATGTCACGACCCTTACCACACTGGTAGTACTCACAGTGCTTGATTCTACCACCACGCAACAAAGCGTTCATACCGGCATAAATATCCTCGTTCAAGTGCAAACCCTTCTGCGCCTTGGACACACCACCTCTGGTGGTCATAAAGATACCGTTCAAGAAATCAGGATGACCGTAATGCAACTTACCACCGATCTGGGCCAAGGTTCTGGCAAACAAGGTACCAAAGGTTTGTTCCTTACCGGCGGCAACGTCACCCAAAATACCCGAGTTCTCGGAGAAAATGTATTCACGGGCACCGACAATGGCTACTGGCTTGAAGTTGTCTTTCTGTTCAGACTTCAAGTTTGGAGCGTACGGGTTCACGTGGTCGACGTTCAATTCCTCGAATTCGGCCAAGACAGATCTGATCTTCAAACACTCTTCCAAGTAGTTATCCTGGTTGGCATCGATCAATTGAATGTATTCACCACGGTAGAAAATCAACGCATGGTTCTGGTTATCGGACTTACCATCACCCAAGATTGGGTTACCAGACAACTGGACTCTGAACTTTGGTCTACGACGGCCGTCCTCGAGCTGTTCACAGTGGCCATCAATCAAGGCGGAGAACACTCTTGGTTCCTCACCCTCGTTCAAAGGTGGTTCTTCGTCCAAATAGGCAATCTGCAAATCTGGGTAGGCACGCAACAAGAATTCAGCATTCTCCATCTCTTCCGGCTTGAACTTGGACAATCTCTGCATGGATACAATAAATTTGAACTTTCTTCTTGCCATTCTTTCCAAGGCCTGTTCCAAACCCTCTGGGTCACCACCGTAGTACTGGACTAACTCAGGGTTCTCCACGCGGTACAACAACTTAATAGCACGGGAGTTGTTCATGAAACCAGAAACGGTACGGTACAAGGTCTGCGATCTCAAAGAGGCCCAGATACGCGTTCTCAAAGTGTATTCTGGAGCAGCAGACTTGAAACCAATACAGTAGAATGGCAAATCGTCAATTTTGGACTTTAACACGTCCTCATCCTTCTCTGGTTCGCCGCCATTTTCGAAGGCAGCGGTTTCTTCAGCCAAAATCTTGGTGTCCTTGACGAAACAATCCCACTCAACCGGATGCAACTGCTTCAAGTATTCCAAAAGGGTGACACGGGAGAACTGGTCATCCTCCCTGATGATCTCTCTCAAAGACAACAAAATCTTTTCGGAGTAGTGCGGAGTGAAGACGGTGAAGGTAGGCATGTTGTCGACAGGCAAAGGCTCAGGGATGGCGGTGGCCAACGACTGGGCAAAGAAAGAGATACGTCTTTCGGCTTCGGAGTCAGCCGGGAAGAACTCGGTGGTGAAGTTGTTATCGTCCTGGGCAACGAAGAAGGTTGGCGCTCTCAAGGTGCGCTTGCCCTCAACTTCGGAGGCGACCTGGTGGTATAACAACTTCTGGACGTGGTCGATGGCCAACAAGTGCTCTCTGTACATGGAGATGATGATGGCATTCCAGATCTGGGAGATCAACACCTTCGGCTTGTACTTGATTTCCATATCGGTGGTGGCCAAAACCTTGGAGTAAACTCTCTTTGGCAAACGGGTGAAGATGTTTCTCCATGGAGTCAAGATCGAGATACCCAAATAGAAGGAACGAGCAACGGAGAAGACAAAGTTACACACAATGTACCACATATAGGTATCCAAGAAGAACAAGAGCAAATCGACAGTGTACATCAAGCCCAATACAATGGAGGGCTGGACCTTACACAAGACTTTTTTGAACCACACTTCACCCCAACATCTGGTCATCGACATGGTGGACAAGTTACGGATCGGATCTCTTAACGACAAGGTCAAAAAGAAGTACGATTCCGCCAACTTAGCACCAAAGACCAACATCCAGAAGAAGTAGGAAACCCACATGTCCAAGCCTTTCAACGACGCAAAATTGGCGGTGAAGGTCTGGGAGGACAAGAACTTACGTGAACGCTTGTTCATGTAGGACGTGAAAAGACCACCCAATGGCATGGCAGCAAAGAAGAGCAAGGTGAAAACGGCGATAAAGAAGGCAACAATGGAAACAATGTGCGCGGATTTGGAGTAATGGATTGTCCCAGTCCAATAGAATACGAACACGTTAGGCGCCAAGTTGATGAGGAAAATCAAGATCAAGAACATCATACGACGGGTCAAGCGCTGGGCTCCGGCCCACTTTCTAGGCACAAAGATATACTCACAGATGGTGGCGGCAATCTGGATGAACGAAGCAAAGGCACCGGCAAGCGCGACGGAAGACCATCTGGAAGAAGCCAATGGCTGGTTGTTGAGCAACTGCTGGTAGTCTTTGGTGTACAAAGTTGGCGAGTTGAAGGCCGTGTACATCCAGTAGATGGAACCGTGGATGATCCAGATACGGTTAAAGTTCGTGACGAAGTGGAACCAGGTTCTGATCTCCTTGTAGGTCTTGAAGAAGACATCCGCCCAGGCGCACTCACCCAAGCGGAGGAAACGCTCCTCCTTTGGAATATCGACCAAACGGGTGCCGTCCTCGAAGACGATGCGGCAAATGCCCTCTGGGTACCAAAACAACTGGTTAACATCGTCGTAACCGATGACCTTGTTGTGGTCCCTCTCACGCTTGACGAAACGCCCGTCCACCACTTGGTAGACCTGATCACGCAAGTAGGTGTACAACGGAGTGATAACTCTGTTCAAGTAGTCACCCTCCGGGATTGGGTCGGTTCTCTGTTGGCACAACGGCGAGTTGAGGTAATCCCAAGCAGTCTTGTAGATGTAGCACAACAACTCTGGGGTGAATCTGACCTGATTGGCCTCACCCCACAACAACAAGTACAACGCAATGTCGCGGACCCTCTCCTCCGGAGACAACACGTTCATGCGCGCTCTCCACTGGATCTCCGCTGCCTCAAGAGAGTAGTCACCCTCCAACTCGGTGGCTAACGCGTCCACGTCCTGACCCAAGGTCTCAGCGGCATCACGGGCCTTCTTGGACTTCTTGGCCGCACGCTTGGCTTTACGGCCCAACTTGCCCACGTTCACAGTGGCGAACCCGAGAGAGTCGTCCAAGTCCTGCTGCGAGGCAAAGTACCACTTCTTGTAGTTGGCGTTATCACCACCGATGTAGTCGGCGTGCAACGACAACAAGGCCTGCGCCGGCGACATTCTGGAGGTTCTGGAATCCAAGAGCGCCATGAAGTGGTCGAACATGTTTCTCATGGAGTCACGCTGGAACCCAAACTTGTTGGTGAGATCGATGAAGATATCCTCGATGCGCTCAACCTTGATTGGGACCTGCGGGTCCGCGGTCCAAGCTGGGTACGGCAACGTGGAGTTGGCCTGCTGGAACTGGGCGGAGTCGAAGGTGCCCTGGCCACCGTAGATTGGCGTGGAAGCACCAGATGATCTGGCACCGCCGTAGCTGATCTGCGATGGCGTGTACTGGGCGCCGTAGTTGTCGTACCCAGCACCCGGCGTCTGGCCACCTGCACCGCCGTAGGAGAAGTCAGAGAAAGCTTCTGGATCCTGACCTTGGACACCACGCATCTGCGATTGGTCGTAGTAACCAGCGTTCTGGTCCTGGTACCCGTCCATGTCATACGGCTGCTGGTTGTAGTAGCTGCCGTCCTGGTTGTCGTAGTACTCCTGGTCGTAGCCCTGGGTGGCCTCGTAACCGCCCTGGGGCTGGTTAGGATCGTAGTAGGCACCTTCGGCATGGTTCATATTGGGGTGCTGACCCTGATTAGGGTCATAGTATTGGTTGTCGTGAGACATTTTTTCAAGCAAAGTCGGCTCTCACGGATAGGTCTCGTTGTTTGGATTGCAGAGGGGGGCGAACGAGAGACAAAACGGAAACAAACCACAGAAAAGAGCAGAAGATCTTTACAGTAATTCGAATTATAAATAAGACGAAGAAGCTTGTAGAAAGAAATAAAAACCGATAAATAGTTGATGACGGCTGTTTTTTTTGGCTCCAGGCTGAGTGTAACGATCCTCAGGAATCAGGGAGGGAGCGCGTAGATCAGAAGTTTTCTGTCGCGCGGGATTTCTTTTTTTTTTTGCTGCGGAAAATTCACGTGCCCTCGTGCATGCATGCGCCAGCAATGGAACCTAAAGTAGGGCCAGATATGTGGCAATTGCCATATATATTTTATTTAATAAGTGAAGATTTTAAGGGGAAAAAAATTAGGGAGTTTTACAACGTTTGGGCAAAGACTATTGGACAGGTATGCCACGGGAAGGTTTCCCGATTGGCGCACTGTCCTGCCGATTACCTGATTGAGCGGTTCAAGGGGGTGGCAGATGCGTAGAAGCCGTCGCGGTACTCAACATCTAGAATTTACACTAATGGTGAAACAGAAATTGCTTTTGATGCGGCGTGTTCTAAAAATAAATGCGCGTTTGGAAGAGAAACGCGCATTTCAGGGAGTACTGTCCGGGTAACGTTTCGCGAGCCATAATGATGGCATGCGAGGTGTGCCTGCCGGAACCCTCGGCTTACGCTTGCCGGCAGAAAAAACTTAGAGCTGGCTCTGTGTATACCCTTTTCGTAACCTTCTTCCTTTATCTTCCGTTTTTCTCATGGCTCTTCTGTGACTTGAGTATGCATCACTGTTTATCGGATCGCTGAACATCAGTGTGATCGGGGTGTAGTGGCAAATCACCACTTGGCCTCAATGTTTCGCCTTGGCCAGACCTTGCAGCTACTGTTGGCACAGCAAATTTTTCCACCTGCAGATTAGCCTTGACAAGAAGGTAATTTGCCTAAACGGGAACGCCGACGTCCTGGTTACCGAAACGAGTAATTTCTTAAGGCTAATACCGTTATGGTTTATCCCGGTCTTATCTAAGTGGAAAGCTGATCTGATCTCTCTAGCCCTTCCAAAAGGCTTTCCAGGGAGATTATTCGCTACTAGATCTACGAAACAATATGTTACCGGGATTTGAAGTAAAATGCAATTTTTTCCCAAAATCACCCTAATAGCGATATATATATGGCATCTGTTATGCTTATAAATCATCTTATTTTAAACTTTCCCCAAGAGATAGTGCATCTGCGTTAGCGCCAGTACCTACACGGTTCTGCAAATTGACGTGCCAGTCGCATACTATCCATGCGTGGGTCTTATCCTTTTGTCTGTACTCTTGTCAAGATAGGAAATTACTGTGACGCTAAAGCTGACACGACGCGTTACGCGTGTTGCTGGTCGTCCTGGAGATACCCAGTTGCCTGTATCCCGAATCTCCAATTGTAGATATACTTCACGGGTTTTCAAAAGCACGGTCCAGACCACTACAAACGTTTAAACTGCCAAAAGTAAGGACCGGTTATTGAAGCATCGCTCCTAGGATCAATGTTTGCAAATACAAAATATTCTGTGTGCTAGGTTTTTAAGGTCTCTAAATACGTGTTACAATAGTCGTCCCATAAAGCAGACACGCACTCTAGCTAGCAGAATTCCACGGCTCAAACGTGCATCTTATACCTCACCAAATTCAGAGTGACCGGTAGCTCTGCCGTGTTTTGCGGCCTCAAGCTGCCCTTTGACTTTAACCCCACATATCTGGCACAACAACTGGAACTTATTGGTGTTAGTAGCGTAGCCCTTATCTTTTAAATCAAGACAAATCGTCAGAGAGGCGACAGCCATGAACAATTGGCCCCATTCTGTGTTCAGTGATATCACTCCGATATCTTTAGAAAGATCTGTGAGCAGCAGGCTGTATACCAATGAGTCGTAATGAATCCCGGAGTAAACGATAGCGATGGATGTGTCCTCATCGCCCAGCTCAGAAGAAAAGTCGTAGATATGCCCCGTTTCCACATCAATGGTCTGGATCTTCACGTGCAAGAACTCGCTTAAAATCTGCAACTCGATAGCACCGCCCCACGAGACTGGCAAGAGAATCCACTCGGCGTATTCCTTGTTCGGTTTTCCCAAAATAGCCTCTGAGTATGTGTCAGCGTGAGAGGTGATGTACGAAGCAACATACCGGCGAAGATCCAAGGCGGAATAAACCTGAGACGTAGATCCATATAGCGAGTAGAGCACCGAGTTGAAGAGACAGGAGTTGTCGTCGGGCTGCACCCGGAGCACGATATATCCATCTAAGCATTGAGTAAAGTACTTTGGAGCCGGCGCTTTGGATGCAGATTTTTGGGAGTTCTTCGAAGAGATAGAACGGGAAGGTTTCGGCTCTTGCTTCGGTTGGAGTTTGCTCACAGCATTGATCGGTGGTTTTGCGGACGCTAGAGACTGCGAAGTACTAGTAGTTGATCCATATTCAATCACCAACTGGTCTCCATTCTTAACCCCCACTTCTTCAAGAAGCACCAGACTGTCTGAAATATCAATTCTTTTTGGCGGAAACCCTCCTTTGATGATCAAGCTCTTGTCGTTCTGGGTTGGTTCGAGGCCTGCCTGCAAGAGTTCCTGGAGCAAGTCCTTGATAGTGCCGTGCGGTGGTAACGTCAAGACTTTCGAGGTGGTGGAAGACCGAAATTTGAGCTTCATTTTGTATTTATGTGTTAGATGCTTTGTATGTAGAATTATTGGGGTTAGCTGGCAAAGAGGTTGCGATGTCAGAGTTATCACAATTCTTGTGGCAAGAGAAGCTTGTGCCATGTGCAGGATGGTGTCAAATTCGGGGCATGTGTTGGATGGAAGGATAACATTATTCGCAACTAACGCCAAGAGTATGACATCTGAAAATTCGTCCTAAATTATCCGAAAACTAAGATACTTTTATAAGTATTTTGAAGTGAGATATGCTTCCCGAAACATGCGTCAAGTTATGTATCGTCTGTACGTATATGAGTACCGTACCGGAGCAATTCCCAAATTTTCTTCCACAGCAACATTACCCCGTTCGAGAAACGGGAGACTAGTTAGTCACATGCTACGGTTGCCGCGTGATCGTCTTAGCCACCTTTTTAAGGTCGTTTATTTCGCCACCAGCCATTACCTCTTTCTTACCTCTTCCGCAATAAATCAAAATGTCTGATAAATCTGCAATTCTTATTGGCTCTACCGGTTTAGTCGGGAGTGCCATCCTTAGACAACTCACCTCTGGTGCAACTTCCTACTCCACCTTGACAACCGTCACCAGACGTGAGGTCCCTTTTCAATCGCAGTTGTCCTCCCAAAACCACGTAAAGAATGTCGTTGAGAAAGACAACACCAAGTGGGCCGCGTTAATTACTGCTGCCAAGCCTAACGTCATGTACTCCGCCCTCGGAACCACCAAGGCTATCGCTGGCGGATTCCCACAGCAATGGAAAATAGATTATGACTTGAACTTGGAGTTGGCAACGGCTGCCAAGGATTCGGGTGCTACCACGTATGTTTTGATTTCCTCTTCCGGCGCCAGCGCCTCCTCTCGTTTCCCTTACTTGAGAATGAAGGGAGAGTTAGAAGACCGCGTGCTAGAATTGGGCTTCAAAAACACCGTTATTTTGAGACCAGGATTTATATTGGGTGAAAGGGAAGTTAGTCAAGGCTTGGCAATCAATATTCTTGGTGCTGTGGCGGGCTCGGTCCACAATTCGTTCCTTGCGTCGGCCATGGGGTACCCAGTGAAGCACGAGGAAATAGCACTGGCTGCCATAGATTATGCTCTCAGAGTAGAAAGAGGTGCAGGAGATCCAAAGAATAAGGGGATTTTCTTTGTTGAATCCAAGGAAATTGCCAGTTTGAGCAAGAAGTAATGGTTGTTACGAGAGTGCGCTATGCGTAGGACCTTTTTTCCCAGCTTTTTATACAACTTATGACGTCGATATCCATGAATCGTTCAATTTGAGGTTAGTTTGTACATCCATGGTTTATGATGGACGAATTCCTAGGCCCTAGAAATAGCGAGATACTCGCTTTCGAGCACCATTGAATAAAAGCTATGTCTACACAAACGTCTGAGGTCATGAACAGTAGCTTTTTTTTTTATTCTAAATTGTACTGTGTACATTTACCAAGGTCTTGGTCGAAAAATCGCAGCTCGAGGTGGTTTTAAACCCGGACTGACTCCGGATTCGAATTAGGCTGAGGATGTTAACGTTGGTGCAACTCATATATAAGCTATAAAACCCCCGATATCTAGCTATATCATTAAATTTTATCTTTATTGGGGGGTTGGGTGTTGATTATTATAACATAAATAGCATTTTTGATTGTTTATATTCTAATTTTATATTTAATCGCCTTTGACAGAATATTTATTACCATATTGTGAATTATATTAGTAAAAGCTACAAAAATCAAATAATATAACAATATTCATATAATTGGACAAAATATAAATAAAGGAAAAAAATTGGACGTATATACTAAATTCATTTAAAATAATTCATAATTGTACCTATAACTACGATAATACACGAATATTTATAAATATATAAACATTATGTAATAAATATATATATTGAATGGGAAGAACAACACTATGGCGCTAACTAGTAGCCTACACCTTCGAATTCTGATGCACCTGCAGCTATAAACCGTATATACTGATACACCGTTTAAAGCGACTCAGACACTATGTTTAACAACGAAACAATCAGAAATGGTAGCTCCATACGGAAACAGTATCCAACTATTTCATTCTCTCATCAGAAAAATAATAATTCCTGGTAACTACAGACTAGTCTGCTTCCAAAAACTAAGTAGATTTGATAGACCACATAGAAGCGGAGCCTCGGGACCCCGTACGTTCTATGATGTGGTATATCTAGTAGGTAATAGTGGATACTGTTAGCTAGCTAAAAGAAAATAAATTTCATCTGTAAGATATACATAAGAGAGGGGTAGTCGGTGGCCTTATATACCGAGGCGGATATGATACCAGGGTGTCTGCTTATCGGAGGTAAGGAGATAATGGACTCCGATTTCTGTCTAGTTAAATGGTACCTTTACTACATATGATCTGAATTACCCGTATACATAGTGGATATATCAGGACTCCGTCTCACCCCTTAATTTTAGTATCCCATACATATACCTTATATGAATATAATTTAAACCCCTTATAGTGTTCAAAGGGCTTATTTATTACGCCTGCAATAGTTTATAATGCTCAATACCGCAGTGCTTCTCAGCAAGGAAAATTGTATTTATATTTTAATCCAAAAAGAAAAAGCTAAAACTCACTAACAAACTTGGAGATATTCCCCTTAAACTCCAGCCACACTCCAACCAGGTAGTCCTTCATGACTTTCCCCATTAACCTTTTCAATTCACGCAACTCCTCTCTGGTAGTACCAGTTGTGGATTTTTCGGCGAATTCCACCGCAGCCTGATCCACCGCATCTTTCAAATCCACTTTTGGGGATGGTGGCGCCCAGAACAAAATAACCGAGAAGTTCTTGTAGATAAGCCATATTCCAGCAAGCGAAACGCCCAACATAAGTGACAAGTTTAGCCATTGGTGGCGTGAGGTAGGTTTAATGTTAGGGTCCAGCAGGGGTCCAAAGATTTTGTACAACGAAGATTTGAGCAACGAGCCTGGTGCTGAAGGGAGCTCCGAACACAGACTAGCTGAGAACAAGAAAGTCAAGTTCAAGGGGTCGAGACGATCAAGCTTGGAAAACTTCAAGCTTTTCTTCAGCTGTTTGATCAACTTATTGAAGTGCTTAAGCTTCGTCTGATAATAGTCATCTGAGTGCCTGATAACACTATTTCTACCGCTTACCCCTGTAGTGCTGTGTCTGCGGTGGAGGTGACTGTTGGAATCATATACTAGTTGAAAAGCGGTATCCTGAGTGTAGGAATAGTGTTGGTTATGGTCATGCGGAATGTGTAACGGCTGGTTGGGAAACAAAGGTCTGGATGCGCGCAACCGGTCTTGAAGCGACACTACGGGGATGTTTACGTCTACCCGTGGCATCACAAATGACGCAGACGGCTCAACCTTCGGTTTGTAAGTGGACCTCTCCTCACGTACGGGGCAGAGGGCTCCTACCAGCAGTAAGTACTCTCCATAGCCTTCCCTTTTGACAATAACCACACTCTCATCCGGTTTTACCGTGGATGAAGAGTTGTCAATTCCCTCAGTCGAGGAACCCGTATCTCTATCTGTCTTAACAAGATTCGATAAAGGATGAGCGCGGTTAAAGCTGGTAGATACCAACATCGGTGACATTGACAGAGATGGAGTGAAGCGGTCATCTGTATCTGGCGCGTACATGTCCATATCGTTATCACTTGGATAGTCACTGGAGAGGATCGAGGAGGGACGGTTCACCTCCATAAGTTCGGGAAGCATGGCATATAGTGCCAACGTAGGGCTATCCCCTGCATTGTTTTCAGGCAGTGGCGAGGGCACAAATTTTGGCGCGGCGGGAACGTAGCCCTCCACGGATCCCACTGATTGCCATGATGAGTAGAGGGACGCATTTTGCAGGTCGATTGGAGTTTTCTCTAAAAGAAGGTCATCAGACACCGCTGCCTCTGCGCTATTGCAGAGGGGGGTGGAGGGCGGTAGAGGCGCCTCAGGAGACGCGGTGGCGTCAGCTGGCGATTCAGGGCCTTGGAGAATACTGTAGATTGAGTTATATTCGGAGTTGAGCAAACTTGTCCTTGTTTCAGGCACGTCTGGCAGTGCAGAGAGCGTGTGTGATTCCGTGGCGTCGAAATCAGCCGTGTGGATATCGGACTCTTGCCCATGGAATTTTGACATGATAAGCGTTTGGATAAGATGATTACCAGTCGATCAGGGATGGCTCGTGTTTAGAGATCTCGGATATCGATATTAGTATACTAATACGACAGGTTGGAGAACTTGTCTGGTGTAGGTATAAGAATGCGGCTAAATAGACCTAAAACTTCTTTGTTGAGCTTAGCTTGAGGGGTAGCAAAACGCACAAGCACTGTTGGTTTGCACATGTGTCACGAGTGACACTATGCAGCCTTGCAGCGATGTCGTTATCGCACTTGACTACCCGCGCTTATCTGTTTCCGCGGCTGCCTGATAATGAATACCACACAGATATAGCCTCGGCAAGCTAGCGATATGGTACTAATATTTTAATACATCACCCCGTTAGGCCAGTGCCGATAATAAATAAGAACAATATATTAATTCATAAGTCGTATCACCGCTGCTGCGTATATGGGCATTTCGGTCTGGGTTACTGTGCGCTGTAAACTCCGTGTCATGTGAGCTTTACACAGCGTGACAGACTTCACAGTAAAAATGAGAGCAACCTTGAGTAGGCTGTAAGCGCCAAAACGTCATGTGAGAGACGTCACAAAAAAGTAGGACAGTTATAAGCACTTAGTGGGTGGGATAAAAATAAACAAATATAGGGCCACAATTAATACATATTTGCATACCATTTTTTTTTTCATATCTATCTACACATGACAATTCTTACGGCGGGGACTCTCGCAAGAGCAATTTACAACGGTAGTGGACGGCATAATTGCACGTGACTCGGTACATACACACAATTCACGTGACAAAGAAACTCCGGGTAACTACCTAATGTATTTACGTGCTATTTCCCGATCTGGGACGTTCTACATGAAAAGCGAAAAGCGTAAAAGCGCTCTGAAACGGAACGGTGTACATCAAAACGCCCTCCATCAGTCTGAATATATCCTTGCTTTCGGTTTCGTATAGGAAGTTTTGAAGAACGATGAGTGATCAGAACCCCACGGATGGCGCCAGCGAGCAAATTCCGGACCCCCAATTGGGAGGTCAAGTGGAGGCGCAAGTAGCTGCCCAAGCGGATCCCCAGTTAAACTCGCAAGTGGAGGCTTCATTGGATTCACAATTTGACCACCCATTTGCCGCTCAGTTGGACCCACAGTTTATGGACCAAGAGCATCCTCATTTCGAGCCCAATTCCGTGGACTTATCTAGTCAGCAGCATTTTGAAGCGTTCCAAGCGTTAGACCAATTGCTCAACGCGCCCTTACCCGAACAGGCCCAAACGCCGCTCCAGGAGACAACCGCAACCTTTCAGCCAATCCAACAAGCCGATCAGCTTGCACAGAATGTAGCAATTGTTCCAGCTATTCCAAGCTCGACAGATGAAGCTCTTATACCAGAAGCTACACTGGAGGTTTCTCTCGTGCATGAACCAGTACTGGTCGAACACCCAAACAAGGAAGTTCCAGTTGAGAACCAACAGATTCTAGAACTCTCCCAGAGTGCAGAAACCCCAGAGACGGACGAGGCTCTGCAGGTTAAACCCGTTATTCCAGAGAATGCTCCAGAGTCAGTAGATGTTAAGCCGGTGGATTTTAAACCTGTGAATGTTGAGCCAGTGGATACCAAGCCGGTAGATGATCCAGTAACCGTTTCAGAGACTTCACCGCAGACCCAGGGTGACTTCCCGGCGACCAAGACTCTTTCCCCAGCGTCTCAATCAGCTCTCATTCCAGAGGTGGAGACGACTGTTCCACAAACTACCCTTTTTGAGACTGTGCCAATGGAAATTGACCCCCCACACGCCTCCCAATCCACACTCAATCCTGACGACGTGTCTGCCCTCTCGTCCTTTCTAGACTACCCCACCGCCGGCCTAACCTCGCTTCCCGCAAACTTGGTGGCTCAGATGATGTACAAGGTGCGTGAAGTGAGCAGCTTGCAGGCAGAGAAGATGCAGCTTGAGGTTAGCCTCGAGACTGCAAGCCACCAGAGCCAGGGTAAGCTCTCTGCGATCAGAAAACAGTACATGGCCGCACAAAAGGAGCTCACACAGCAAAAGAAAACGCTTGCCACGCTAACTCTGGAGAAGGAGGGATTACAGCTTTCCGCGCATGCGCAGTCTGGTGATGTGCAGAAATGGCGGGCCGCGAGTCAGGCAGCAGACGCGAAGCTCGCAGACGTTTTGGTATCCAAGCGCACCGCGTTGGACATTTTGGCTGCGCGGGAGAACGACATCCGCATCTTCAAACTGGAAATCGACACCTTGCGCGAGACCACCGCTGGCTTACGCCGTCAATTGGTGGAGGTTGAGCAGGCTAAGGACGCTGTCACGGCCGAAAAGTTGAAATTACAGTTTGCGGAAAAGACCACGGCCCAGGCGTTGGCTAGCTGCAAGAAGAGCTTGACGTGGTACGAAGAGGAGTTGACCTCCAAGTCTGCGGCGATTCTCGCCGACAAGCGCCTGGCAAACACTACCATTTCCGACTTGACCAGCAAGTTGGACAAGCATGTGTTGGAGAACCAAACCTTGGCAAATTCTAAGGCTTTGCTCGAGGAGCGACTCTCTGACACCGCCACGAAGCTTGACCAGACGTTGATGCGTTTGAAAGCGGTGCAGGACGCGGAGGCTTCCGACAAGGAGAGCTTCTACCGTGAGATGACCAGCAAGGACCGCTTGGTGGGACTCTACAAGAAGTCATCCGAGGATCGCAAGGCGCGCATCGATCAGTTAGAGGCGTCGTTGGCGAGCTTGCGTAGCGACGCGGCGGCGGAAACTTCCGAGCTACGCTCTTCGTACCATGCCAAGGTGGAAGTAGTGGCCACGTTAGAGCAGAAGGTGCACCTGTTGGAGGAAACCCTCGAGACGTTGTCCGAAGGCTCGTCTGCTCCGCTATTGTCGGCTGCTGCTAGGCAGACAGTCTCGAAGATTGAGGGTGTTTCGCTTTCCCAGTTGTATGCTGACTTTGGCTTATTGAAGAAGCAGTTGACGCAGGAGCGCCGCCAGAAGGAGAAGTTGCAGCAGGAGATTAAAGCTTTCGTGGCTGAGTTAGAGGCGCGTGCGCCGATGGTGGAGTCCACCCGCGCGCGCGCGCAATTGCTCGAACAGGAGCTCTCGCAAATGAGCTACATGTTGGAAACAGCCGAGCAAGGCCGCCTGGAAAGTGCGGCTGCAGCCAAGGCGATGCTGGATAACCTCCGCAACGCGCAACTCGAAATATCATACTTGGGCAAGCAGAAGGCTGACTTGGCGCGTCAAGTGCAGTCGTTGTTGATTCAGATCACCGTCGGGAACGACAACGGGGGGCCGCTAACAGTTGCTGAAAAGGCTGCCATCACCCAGCTCTTGAGCGGAAACAAGGCTGTAGCCGCAGAATCTGACACCGACCGCTTAATCAGCGAGCGTCTTGTCACGTTCACCAACATTGCTGAGTTGCAGGTGCGTAACGAAGACTTGTTGAAGGTAACGCGCCAGTTGGGCGCCAAGTTGGAACAGCAGGAGCAGTCCCTCGGACAGGCGGAGGAGGTCGCTATTAATGAGGCCCGCGAGGCGATTTTGACGTTGCAGGAGGACATCGAATCGCTTGGGATCAAATTGGACGCCGTCTCCCGCGAAAGGGACATGTACAAGGAGATGGCAGACGGTGAGCAGAAACGTTTGACCGGGCCGGTTCAGCAAGAAAACCAGTTGATCGTAAGGGGCAACAAGGCAGACGATACGTTGGTAGAGATCCGTGCGGAATCGCAACAAAATGTTGACGCATTAAACGCGCAGATCACAAAGTTATCGCGCGATAACTCGGCTCTCTCAGTGAGTGTTGCGCGCGCAACATCGACCGCAGAGTTGGCGGAGGAGCGCCTTGCGTCGTTACGCGAGTCGTTGCGCTACACGCAGCTGGAGCTTGACACGTTGAGGCGGTCTGCATCCGCGATGTCTGAGAACTTGGGTAAGCAGGAGGCCAAAACCCAGACGATCACAGCGGAGCTCATTGAAGCTACCCACACGTTGGACACGTTCCGCAGTGAGAATGTCAACTTGAAGGCGGAGAAGTCGTTGTGGAAGACCATCGAGAAGCGTCTCCACCAGGACCACGCGCAGTTGTTGGAGGAACGTAGCCAGTTGGCGCAGCGCGTCGCCAACCACCAGAGCTATGCGGACGATCGCGAACGCTTGGCCGGGGCGGCGCAGGCCCGTTTGGGCGCGCAAATTCTGTCGATGGATGGCGAATTGCATCATTTGCGCGCGCGCTTGCTGGAAAAAGATGCCGAGATCAAGCAGACGATGGCGCAGAGCAGCGATGCGGCCAAGGCGTACCAGCAGAGAATCGACACCTTGACGAGCCAGGTGTCGCAGGCCCGGGAGGACTTGGTAGGGCAGAAGGCCGCTGTGGCGTCACTCACCACTCAGGTTACTGCACTTAGCACCACCGTCGACTCCTTGAACCAGAAGATCAGATTCTACGCTGCCGAAGACGACAACGCGTTGGTGGGCACCTTAGACGGTCTCAAGACGGAGCTAGCTGCGGCGAGGGCCGATTTGGAGCTGGCCAACCAGCAGGCAGAAGAGTTCAAGCGTGTTGCGTCCGCTGCAGAAGACGCGTTGGCGTCAATGAACGCCGCGTTTGACGAGTACAAGATAGCCTCGCAGACCAAACACACCGAGGCGGCCACAGAGACCGAATCGCTTCGTTCACAGGTAGATACCTTAACTCTGGAGATTTCCCACTTACATTCCGAGGAGGCTGCGGCCGACCAGAGGGCTCAGCAGCTCACGGCAGAGATTGGCACCTTACGGGCGCAGGTGGAAGCCAATGATACCGCGCGCACTGAGTATGACAGGCGTGTGCGCTCTTTACAAGACGATTTACAGACGCAAACGAAGGTCACTGCAGACGCCCATACGAATTACGAGCAGGAGCTCCAGAAGCACGCGGAGGTGGCCAAGACCGTGTCGTTGTTGCGTGCACAGGCGACCGAATTGCAGACCAAGTGGCAAGAGGCCACGTCACAGGCGAAGCTGGCAACGCAGTCGTTACAGGCGGCGCAGCAGAGCTGGGAGACCCAGCGTCTCGCGTTGGAAGAGCAGTTGCGCACGGCGAGCGTTCGTGCGGATGACCTCGCGAGCCAGAACCGCATCTTGCACGTGCAGTTGGAGAAGGTCAATACCCCGGAGGCTGGATCGCGTTACGAGTCTGAAACAGGTGACTCATCAATCCAGGATGTAGTTTCGTTCTTGCGCCGTGAGAAGGAAAGCTCCGACACTCAGTTGAGCATTGCAACGGATGAGCAGGCACGCTTGCGCGCCAAGTTGGACGCCACGACCAGCGAGTTGGAGAGTGTGCAGACGGAGTTGGCGCAAGCGCGCGCACGTGATGCCAACGCGGAGAAACTCACGACGGAGCACCAGCACTTGCTCGAACAGATCAACCAGATGAACTTGTTGCGTGAGAGCAACACCACCTTGCGCGCGGAGTCGCAGCAGCGCTTAAATCGTGTGGTGGATTTGGAGGGCCAGGTGGCGGCGCTCAACGCGTCCTTGGACCCCTTGCAGGTGCAGGTTGTGCAGTTAAAGGCCGAGATTGAAGTGAAGGACCAGCAGCTTCGATTGGCCGAGGAGGATAACCAGCGTTGGAAACAGAAGGCCCAGGATGTGTTGCTCCGTATCAACAAGATCGATCCTGAGGTGCACGCGGAGTTGAAAGAGAAGGTCGAGGTCTTGGGGAAGCAGGTAGAGGAGCTCACAACGCAGTTGGCCACTTCGAAGAAGGCCCTTGCGGAGGCCGAAGTTGCTGCGACGAACGGTGCAGCCCGTGTGGAGCGCATGAAGGCAGAGTTCATCCAGAAGCTCAAGCAAAACAAGGCCGACAGTGCTGCTGTGTTGGAGGCTAAGGAAAGGGAGCTCGCCGCGAAGAAGGCCGAGTTAGCTGAAGAGCAGAGTGCTATTGCCAAGATGAAGACAGAAGGCGAAAAAACGGACGTGGACGCAAAGTTGGTCGAGATGCAAACCCAGCTCACTACAGCTCAGCAGCAGCTCGCGGAAGCATCCACGAAGGACGAGTCCATTCAGGAGTTAACCAGAGCGAGGGACGCCTTGCAGAAGACTCTTGACGACTTGGAGGCGGATGTCGAAACGTTAAAGAAGTCGTTGATTACATCTGGGGATGCCGAGGCTGGCGCTGGAATCGACGCCCTCAGGGCTGAGTTTGAGAAGCAAAAGGCGGAGATTGCTAACTCCTTTGAAGCCCAGAAGGTGGAGATAACGAGAAACGCTGAGGCCCAAAAGGCGGAGCTTGTGCAGGCGTTGGAATCGCAGAAAGCAGAGTTCGCTAAGGCGGAGCAGGAACTCAGAAAGGAGGTTGAGGCTAAACCACAGCACGCTTCCGGCACGGACGAGATTCAACAACTTCAAAAGGAGTTGGAGGCGAAGCACGCGGCCGAGACTGAAACGCGCGTGAAGGCCGCCATCGAGGATACCAAGGCCCGTGTGCGTGCACCGGTTGAAGCTAAGGTCCAGGCTATCGCCGAGAACCGCTTTTTGCGTTTCAAGAAGGAAGCCGAGGAAGAAGCGGCGAAGCGTGAAGCGGAGCACCAGAAGGAGCTCGAAGCAAAGTCCCAGCAGCAGGTGTCCGAGGCCCTTTCCAAGCTTGCCGAAGCCAGCACCGAGGAGCTCGTTCAGAAGCTCGTGGAGGAACAAAAAGCAGCTCTCGCCAGGTTGACGGAGGAGCACACAGCCAGTATCAAGAAGGCGAGCGACGACGGTCGTGCCCTCGCCACCAGAATGGCTGACATGAAGATGAAGCTCTTGCAAACCAAACTTGACAAGGCCCTTAAGGAGGTTGAAGTTTTGAAGGCCCCTGCCGCACGCGCGTCAGCTCTCCCGACTCGACCAACTGGTACTGTCCAGGCGGCCCAGGGATCTCGCATTCCGCAAAACACCGGCAGGCCGTTTTTGAACAAGCCCCAACGCGGTGGGTTCCAGGGCAATTTGACCGGCAGAGTAGGTGCTGATGGTGGGAAGCGGCCAGCCGACTTCAAGGCGGGTCCCCAAGCTAAGAAGCACAAGGACTAAGTGTATTTTATCAAGTGTATATTAAACTGTGTTATGTTACGTGAATATGTAGGTAGGTATGAAGAGGATATGAGTATACTCAAGATATATATCCGTAAATTCCTTCCATCAACTGCAACTTGACAGAGTTTGCTTTATCGAACTAAACCAAAAGCTGCCATTTATTTAGGAACAGATGCTCTCTTCTCTATCCCGTAGAACTTCTCGAATTTTCCTATTTATCCTCTGATATAAATTAAAACAGTCACCTATCTGTCAAGAAACAAAAACAACAACAACAGGGATTGACCGAAAGAACACAGCGCTTTGTCCATTACCGCAATTTACCGGGATATACCCTACATTAAAAGGTAATGATCAAGAGTAGGTACCCATTTGTTAAATACCAAGACAGGTAGGCTCCCTATACCCGAGATACTAGGAACAAATAGAGGCTATAATATGTAAAACGGCTATAGTGATATGTGGCCCGAATGCTTTCGGATATGGTCAAGTCAACGGCCGTAATGTATCTCAGCATGGAAATTGATTTACCAGCCCATTTACATAGATACCAATTTACGGAATGAACCCAAGGAAACACGAACCATAAGCTCTAATTATTTATAAAAGGAATCATTATCCCTATCTCTTTTTAGAGGTTACCTGGAATAAAGAAAGAAAGTGACAGTGGAGTATACTTGCATTTTCGTGTTTATGAGTTCCTGCACCAGCTCTGTCATTCGCGCCGCACCTAAGAAATAAACGAAACGCGTATCCAATTACGCGTCACAATACTCGTCGCACCTATTCCTGTCTTTCCATACCATGGTGCTTACCGACCCAAGAGACATTGTCGATGCATCCGAGGACTCCCACTTGACTGACGAAGACCTCACTCCCGCGGCTTCTGCCGAAATTGCGGAGTTGAAACGGCGGATCGCAGACCTCGAAGGGCGCAAGCGGCCCACCCAGGACATTCCGTAAGTACGGTCCCGCCAATTTTTTAAGCGTTACTAACCTCTAGACCCTCACCAAAACGAGTCAAACCGGAAATATTAGTTCCTCCATCGCCGGGGCGCAAAACCGCGGATGCGGTGCACTTTCGTAGCCGCGCTATGGCCCCCGTTGCATACGCCAGTCCTAACCCACCCAGCCAACCTTCTAAGGCTATCCCTTCTTCAACAACCTCCTTTGCGAGTGATCTCCAGGGCTCACGCGACGCGCGGCGCGCGGAGGAGACTTACCAAGAGAACCTAACTAGGGACCGTGTCTTTTCCTTCTTCGACACGGCGCTTGAGACCATTACGCTCACGGTGAGTGAAAAAGATAAATACTCGGGTGCGCAGCTTTCGCAGCGCTTCCTCGCAGCGGCACAGGTGGACGAACTCATGACCGGAAAAAAGTGCATGCGCTTGGACAAGCTATTGGCCAAGGTAGCCCCGCCACTGTTTCAGCCGCCTCAGTACACGAACTGGGTGCTCTTTGCGATTGTTACTGCCAAGTCTGAGCCAAAACATGCGGCGGAAAACAAGGGAAAGTACATGCGATTGACGTTGAGCGACTTCTACAGCACCGTAGAGCTCATGCTCTTTGGGAAAGCGTTCGACAAGTTCTGGAAAACGCTGGTGGGCAATGTAGTGGCGATTTTGAACCCAGATATCTGGCCGTACAAGCGTACAGATTCCGGATACAAGCTCTTCAATCTCTCAATCAAGGATGACCTCAACTGCCTTATAGAGATTGGGCGGGCGCGCGATTTTGGCACGTGCCCGTCAGTGAAGCGTGATGGTGCAGTGTGTGCGGCACCTATCAACCGTGCGAAAGAGCTGCACTGCCACTTCCATGTGGAGTTATCATTCCGTAAAACCACGGGAAAACGTATGGAGTTCAACAGCGCCGTCAGCATGTTTGGGCCGGGTTCCACGGTCAACGGCACGCGACACCAGGACCAGGTGTACATGGGGGGCAACGCGACGAAGGGCTTCAAGGGAAAGTTGGTGACGGACCCGTATGCTCCGAAGGTGGACAAGTACGACGGAAATATGATGTACTTCAGCAATCGGCATGCGGGGAAGGCGTTCTTTGACGATGAGTACCAGAACCCGAAGATTCTCGGGGACATGGCTGCGATGCGGCGCACGCGAAAAGACGCTACGGATGAGGTCGCGTTGAGACGCAAGCTCGCCAAGATCAAGGGCGGGAGCTCGCTCGTGAACAGCTTGGAGGAGGACGAGCAGACGCGCGAAGCCAAGTCGAAGGTAGCCCAAACTGCCTTCAACCCACATGTTTTGAACAAAATCGGGTTTAATCCCACGAGACGTTTGTACGAATCTGCGAACCACCATTTAGACACATCCAAAAGCGACATCAGCAAGGAGTTGGACATGTTACGCGCAATGTCCGATACAAAGCAGCGGAAGTTGACCGCCACAAAGAGTGATCGCGTTATGAAGAAGAAGGCCTGGGAGGCTAACATCAGCAAGTTGAAAGACTACACAAACAGGGCGCATCTCAAGGGGAAGTACGGTGATGACTTTGGCGATGTGGACTTTAGTGATGTGAGCGAGAGTGACAGCGAGATTGAGATCGATTTTGGGGGGAATGCGAAGTTTGAAGAGTACCAGAAGGTGATTGGAAAGGAAAGCCCATCGAAAGTTAACTGAGAATAAAACTGGCCGTTTAGATATTTGCTGTATAAGCCCGGGAAGAGTTTATGATAGTTTCATATTATGATAGTATAAACATACTCTACATAATTCCATAATTTTAACGTTCTCCACCAGTCTTTCTGTGAAGAGAAAATGAGGTATCTAATCTGTGTAGCATCGACGGGATATCCCGAAAGTATATGGCAAGAAGGAATGGACATGGCTGAGATGGGGCCGACGGTACAAAATAATTCTCACAACATTGAGATACTCGCCGTTATTTTAAGGATCAGCAATTCCATCTATTATTGTCAGTTTCAGTCATCAGTCAAAGACGTTTGCGTAAGATATAAACATATTGCATAGCTTATGCCGTGATATGAATGGGTCAACGATTTACATTCTAGATATCCGCCGTGTGCCAGAGTGTTTGCTGAGATCACTATTTTTAGACATCAGTTTCAACCTTATCCAGTATACACAATTAACCCGGAGCAGCCTATCGATACCGTCCCCTGCTCTATTCTTACCCACCCTAATTTAATCAAAAAGAGTTACATATACAAACACCTAGGACGCCTGATTTAGGGTATATATAGGCCATTATTCATGCAGTGGCATCATTAATTGCAAGATATCCTACTTGTTCTTCAACCTCTTACACATTATCTGCAAATCATTTTTTAACACCGTTCAATGGTGTTACAAACCAGCGAGGATTACTCGATATTCAACATGTATACGTCATAAACACTTCTGCATATCGTTATTACACAATCTCGCCTACCCAATTAAACGCAAATCCCAGCCATTAACGTGATTTCCCAAACACGTCACCTCGATCGCCCCTTTGCCAGAAGCCACAATCGCACCATCAACACACACGCGTCTCTTTGTCTCACCTGATTCATTAACCGCCAATTTGAGCACATCTCCAGGCATAATTTTTTGGTACGTGACCCTTGGATCGTGGATATGGCTGCCAGCAGCATACACTTTGTGCATAATCTCCAAAATTTCCTCATTTTTTTCCACCCCTTTGAAAGATACCAAATATAAGCTGTTCTCAAACACGTTCCCTTGTGGCGATATCTCAAACGTCGGCTCAAACCGCGTGACAGGGGTAACCACCACGTAGCTGAAAGGGCCATTGTCTGCAGTCAACACGTTTCCCTTAGCCAAGATTTCTACTGTCCCGTGATAGATCTGCTCGCGTTTGAGGTTGTCTTGTGCAGCCACCTGGAAGCGCTGCAACCCCAACTTTCTCATCTCGGGGGTGTCGCTATCAGCTACCAACGACGCGTGAAAGCCCCAGCTGAGCACGACGACAAACTTTAACAGCGAGACAGGCTCGGAAGAAGCCACGAAAGACGAAAGTGGTGGAAACTGGACTTCGTAGATGGGAAATGCACCGAAGGAGCCCTCTAAAAGCGACTTTACGGCGAGAAGCGGGCCGTTATCTGGACGCAAGGAGCGTGACAACGCGTTTCCCGTACCGTGGGGGATAGTGGCAATGAATATCTTTTTAGGAGTAGCAATTTTCCCCAATCCGTTGACAAACTCCTGGATGGAGGTATCTCCGCTGATAATTAACACCGTCGTATCCCGTTCATGGGACAAGGAGGCGGCAATCTCAGCAATATGGGTGGCTGACTGCGTGAGAACATATTGATGCTTGATGGCAAGAATCTCAAATAAAGGTTGGATCACTTGTTGGTAGATACCAGGGGAGGCCCCTCTACCGGCTCCAGAGCTGGCAGAATCAATCACTAACACGTGGTTGCGTAAGTACAGTGGCAACTCAGTCACCTGCACCGCATCGGTTTTGGTTCTGCTAGGCAGTTTCAGCAATTGAAAGATATCATCGGACTGGATAACGGTGATTAATTCCCCATCGGCAGTTATACATATATCGGTCATTGGCAAAGGCGTTAGGAAATAGTAAGATCTTGTAGCATCCCCGGATATGCGAGAAATCTTATATAAACTGTGGACCGAAAAATACCCTGTACGCTTTGACAGGAGAAACTAAGGGTGATGCCTCATAAAGAGAGGGTATGGTAGAACATGAGACAAACGCACTGCTGGTGTCTTTGACTCATAACCTTCTATACATCTAATACCCGAGAAATGTGATCCATCCTTATATAACCCAGTCTTACCCCAAAACCCTTCCTACCTTCTCAATTACTCCAAAAATACATTACCTTACTATTCAATTTTATCTAAGCTAAAACGTCCAGTGCTCATCTGCCGACTGGATGGCCCAGTCGAATTTATCCCTCAATGTCTTGGTGAACAACTTCTCAATCGGGACGTTAAACTTTCTAGAGAACATTACCGTTAATCTCGGATCGATATAGTTCAACTTCGAGGTCCCCAACGCTACCTGTGAATTGTCCTCCTTGTCCTTTAACTGCAAGCAGGTGGTCTTGATGCGCTCTTCCAACTTCTCCACCCTCGCCTCCAACTTTTCCACCGTGTCGTTCGGATGGAGATCGATTGGCTTTCCGGAGCTTGCTTCCTTGGTGTACTCCTTCTTCAACTCGCGGATCTTATCCAACTTCGTCTTGAGTTCTTCCTTCGAAAGTAAAGGTTGTTTCGCTTCCTTGAGCTTGATGTTGTCTTTCTCGAACTTTTTCTGCACCTTTTCGATTTCCTTGGCGATGACGTACTTGTGCACGGCCCGCTCGTCTTCCTTGGTCAAGTCGTTGATCTCCTCAAAGTACCCCTTGCGCTTTTGCTTCAATGTCAGGTCCTTCACGAGCATGAGCTTCTTCAACCGGATCTTTTGCCACACCATTTCCTGAATCTTTTCCTGGATCTTTGCCACCCCTGCCTCGTGGGTTTTGGGGATGGTACGTTGATGGTTACACAAGATGGCCACAGTTCGGTTGGCCGCATTGAACGCCACGAGCTTCTCGTTAACCGATCCCTCGTTAGGAATCAAGTTCAACTGGTCCTGCATCACCTTCGTCGCGTTGTACGTACGGAACACTTTTGCCGTCAAGCCGGGCATGTAATTCTGTAAATGCTTGTTCAAAATCGACGGGTCCACACGGTCAAACAAGTCGTCGCCCGGTTTCTTTGGCGCCTTCTTAAAGATCCTCAAGTTCTTAAACACCTGTTGGTCCACCTCAACTTCCTGGTAGTAGCGGATGGAATCCTTACCCAAGAAGTCAAACACCACAGTGTTAGGCGGCTTCAACGACACGTGTTCGAATCGCAACGAACAACACCCGACGGTATCAGCCTCCTCGTCCGTTTTTTCCCCACCAGCTCTCAACGCAAAAACATCGATCAAGTACGTACACACTGCCATTTGACGCTCCAACATGAGGTCTGACTTCAACTTCTGTCTGTAGTCGACTCTGACCTTTTCTATGTGTAACTTCAACTCGCGTGCCTTTTCAAACTTCTTAAAGTCACTGATCCCCTTTAACGACGAGTTAGCGGCGAATCTCACATACTTTACCCCGCCCAACACGTTTTCACGCCACATGGCCAACCAAGCGACGGTGTTGTCGTGCCTGATTTCGCCCCATTTATGGCCTCTTGGTGGCTTTGGCACCGGTGCTTCCTTGCCCAAGTTCAACACAATGTCCTCTGGCTGCACACGCTTCTTCAATTTTCCAGTCTTGGGATGCGCACCACGACCCCTGAACAAGCCCGGAGGCTCCACGCGGAAGTTACCCACAAACTCCTTGCGGCCATCGAGAAGACACGTCTTGTACGGCGCCTCTAGCGTGTCCTTCTCCTCCTTGATCTTCTTCTTCTCAGCAGAGGTGGTGGTCTTCTTTTCCTCACGCTTCTCTTCAAAGTACGCAAACATCTTCGAAAAGTCCATTTTGGCAAAGTCAGTAATCTCTATGTCGCAGCCACCGGCTTCCTTTAACACTTCCTGGAAGTCCTTAAAGAAATTCTGCTGGAACACAGGGTTCTTCCCATGGTCGGTCTCGACCAACGCGCCGAAGAAACCGGCCACTTCCTCCGCTGCTGGCGGTAAGGTCACCGGTTGGCCATTGTAGAGCAACTTCACGCGCTTGGGAAGCGCTTTATATGGAGGGGGAAAGATAACCCCACTGTGTTCGAGCGTGGTCCACTTAATCTCGCCGTCCAAGTCGTTGGACTCCCACCACTTGTATGTGTCGTTGTCTTCCGGCGCGGGGGTGCCGTCGTCTTTAGCCTTCGGCTCTTTCTTCACCTCCTTCACTTCCTTTTTCACCTTTGGCGCAGCTTTGGCCTTTGGCTCCTTCTTAAGAGTGTCTTTTGGTTCCTTCTTAAGGGTGTCTTTTGGCTCCTTTTTAGGGGCTTTAGCCTTCGGTTCCTTCTTAGTCACCTTGGGTTTCAACGCCTGGGTGGTCTGGCTCAATGGTACGTCATCGAAGTCGTCGTCATCGAGGATAGCCTTGGACTTCTTACGGGCCGCTGGGGATACGGAGGCAGCGCGCTTCTTGATTGGCGCTTCTTCGTCATAGTCATCGTCTGATACGGAAGAGGCACTTGGCGGCTTGTCGCCCATGTCCATGTCAGAATCTTCATCCTTGATGACGGAGCTCTTGGCCCTCGCAGATCTGTTTAACGGCACTTCGTCGTCTGAAATGTTCATTGTGGATAGGCCAAGAACTTGGGTGTGAATACAAAACTATGGTGTAGAGAAAAAAAATACGATGCCGATCAAAACGAACGCAAAACAAATCGACCAAATCTGACATTTGCAGACGCGTCAATTTTTCGGCACCACGCCCAAGAGGTTTGCTCAGAACAGTCGTGCGGAGACATATGAAACAGCCAGGGCGCGTAACGCGTAGGCACTAGCCTGGCAAAGTTTAAGGGTTTGCACTCAGATCACACCGCTTCAAACAGTGGTAAGGTAATTCACCGGAAATTACCGTAAGAGAGCTTTGAGAACTATCTGGGAAGTCGGTTAACATGCAGATAAAAGTAAGCAGATACTGAGACACCCTTGGGGACCTAGGCGGAGAGTAAAACGACGTCTCACTGAACTACCGGCAATTCACGATACTGTTAAAAAGCACTTACTGAACCATGTCAACTGATTTCAGGATCAAAAGCATGACAGGCACAGGTCAGAAGCTTTATCAAGAAATTCTGAAGAGGCCAGCTGTGTATTTCTGAAGAGACCAGCTGTGTATTTTTTTTTGGCTGAACAGTGCCACTGCTCTCTACGTGGCTTATTCAGGATTTGCCTGTCATTTTCAGGCTCTCTTACTTGTCCTTCACATAGCCATTCACATATTCTCAGAACACCTTCGCACAAAAAGTGAGAGTTCGCGCGTCAGGTAGACAGGATTTTAACTGATAGAGGACTTGGGTATACCGTCAGGCTTAAATTATCCAAATTATAACCAAAAACTTAGGTTTCAGTTTATATTCGCTTCTGGGCTAAAGGGTGTACCCCTTTACCCTCTCATACCCCTTCCCTCTAGCCCTTTAAGGGCGTAATTTGTAACTCTATAAATATTGCACTTTATTATCAAAGCTCGGACCATATTCATACACCTATCCTATTCGCTTTTACAAGTGCAAAACTGCGTCACTGCAGAGTGCCCGATCCTTATCTCGGATGTAGCCCATTCGCCAGGTAAAGTGTTAGGCTCGTGCACTCGCTACTCAAGCGGCGTCACAACTATCTCACCTAACTCAAGTGGAGAGAACTCCGACAATACTTTGCGCAACTGTGCGCGGCGGATCGGCTTACCTAAGAACCCGTCCATGCCACTCTCCATACATACCTTCACATTGCTCTCGTCTGCAAACGCAGTGAGCGCAACGATCGGGCTCGTATAGTGTAACTCTGCACGGAGCTTTGCAGTTGCGACTAATCCGTCCATCTTAGGCATCTGCACATCCATAAAGATGATATCAAACGTCGTGCCCTCAGCTTGTGCCGCACGCACGAACTCGAGCACCTGGAATCCGTCGACCGCAAGTGTGACATTCGCAATGCCCTCCAACGTGAGCATGCTCCGGATCACGTTCTGGTTGATGATGTTGTCATCAGCGACCAACACACGGAGGTTCTTGGTCACGCCTGAATCCGTACCAGACGTGAAGCGGGTGCTCGACAGAAGCGCAGTTCCGGTGGACGAGTGTGATATGAGCATAGGCTTATCGAAATAGGACGTGCCAGGCTTTGCGTCGGGCGAGCGCGGTGTCAGCACGTCGACCGAAAACCGTCGCGGCGATGTAATTCGGCTCTTGATGCTGCGCAGGGACGACGCCGAGCGCGAATGCTTGCGCATCAGTGCGCGTGGTTTGTTCGTCAGCGCATGTGACTCACTGCTGTCGCTGTAGCTGTCGCTGTCGCACGTGCCGTAATCATACTCATCGTTGTTGTAGTCGTAGAAGTCATCGTCGTAGAACTTGTCATCATCCACTACTACCTCCAGGATCTGCGGAATCGGCACCACTACGGTGAACTTCAGGCCGTGACCTGCCTCCGACTCGAGTGAAATCGTCCCGCACATCAAATTGACGATCTGGCGACAGATCGAGAGACCGAGCCCAGTTCCACCAAATTGCCGGCTGAGCGTCTGGTCACCCTGTACAAACGGCTCAAACACACGCTCATGGAGCGACGGCTCGATCCCGGGCCCGGTATCCTCCACCTCAATCGCCCACACCCACTTCTTTGCGTGACGGAGCTGCTTTGTCCCGTACACCTTGTCGAACTTTTCAAAAGTCTCCGAAATGTCGTCGGGGTTGTACTGCGACGCAGCGGAGCCGGTGGAGCCGGTGGAGCCAGACGTGGTGCTATCCTTGCGAGGCTTAAACTGGGAGTCGAATACGAGGGTGTCGTATTCGAAAGAGGAGAGCGTGTTAATGCGGTCCAAGCGGGCAAAACCGGAAGCGGAAGCATTCTCACGTGCATTCACAGGGGACATCGTACGGGATGGCATGCGCGCAATCGTGGCACTCTCGCGTTCGTCGTGAATATCAGGCACCAAAGGACTATGAATGGAGGCTTTAACTGGAACGGGATCTGTCGCGAAATCTGACGTCGGAATATTAGATCTCACCGGAACAAGATGTGACCTTTTGATAGAACCGCCTGGGATGAAATTATGCCCAACGCTTTCTGGGATATTTTCGGTCAAAGGCGACCGATCCACTTTGGTCTCGTCGCTCGCGCTGGATGCCTCCATGTGACTGTTCTTCACATGGACTCCGTTGAACACGACGTACTCGGCAAACGGCAGCGGAGTCTTGTGAGTTTCGTCCCATTCGCCGATTACCCTCACAGTCAACGTGACTTGTCCACCCTTAGGCGTGAACTTGAGCGAATTCCCGACGAGGTTCATCAACACCTGCACCAAACGTTTGGAGTCACCATAACTGACGAGTCTACGGCACCAGCGCTGTTTCATGCGGATTCGCAAGTGTACACCCTTGTCGCGTGCGGAGATACCAAAGATCGCGCGGATCTGCTCCACAACCTCGATCATCAGAAATGAGTGATAGTCCAAACGCGTGCGGTTAAGCGTGTTCTTACTAAATGAGAGAAGGTCTGTGAGGATATGGAGAAGTAATTCACCTGACGTTTCCACGAGTCGGAGCTGGCCCTTGATGCGCGAGATGACGCCTTGACACTTTGCAACCTGCTGCCGCACGACATTTTCCACGTGCGATGCATGATTGAGCTCTTCGATCTTGTCAATCTGGTTCAGCGGCATGCCGCGTATTACGTCAAAGATTATCTCCTCGATACCCTGAACCTCAGCCATGACAACACCGCTCATACCCATGATACCGTTGAGAGGCGTGCGGAGTTCATGAGAGATGTTCGCGATAAAAACCGTCTTGGCCTCGTTCGCGCGCTCCGCGTCGGTCTTTGCTCGCTCGAGCTCACGCGTACGCTCTGCGACACGCGTCTCTAAGGTTGTATACTGCTCATGGAGTGCTAAAATCATGGTGTTAAACGTTGCTGTAAGCTCTGTGAGCTCGTCACGCACTAACGGATTTGAGCGGATCTTGATCGGCGTAAGCATTTTGTCTAGATCCATCTCTTCAAGTGATTCTACCGAGTCCGTGCCTCGTTTACGGAGCCCGAACCACGCACCAAGGAATCCGAACGTGGATTCCACGTCGTAATCGGAATGGCGATGTTCTGAGGGCTGGTGTAATGCATAGGAAGTGGCATGAGGAGGAACAGGACTTTCGCGCGGATCACCGTAAGGGGTGGGATGCACGGGGATAGGAATGCCGCGCAGAGCATCTTGACCCCGCTTGTAATTCAGATTGCCACTCTGGTCCTTATTGTACGTGTGGTCGCTTTTATTGGAGCGCTCAGGACCGAACATGCCGTCAAGATTTGCTGGTGCGTTTTTCTCATCAACATTCGTGTTCTGCTTCTCTAGGAGCGTAACAGCCACAACTGCTTCTTTCCTACTTCGACCCTGCGAGTACCTCCGCTTTCGGTTGGTGATTGCCTCTGTCGCGTTCTTCAATGTGACAATCGGCCGAACCGCGTAGTAACTCATGATGAACGTCGCGATACATAAGAATCCGGCCGTACCCAACGCGACACCAATGATGATATTTCGTAGGTTATTCATCGGCTCCATGAACTGGGACTGCGGCTGCTCAACGATCACGGTCCACTGGTTGGCGTAGGTCAAATTGACGGGCGAGGACCCGGCAGCGATCTTGAGGCTTTCAAAGTTCTTTCCCAGAGATGTAGACAGCGAACCGTTGCTACTCAACGCACTTTGAATGTAGGGAAACTTCAGTGAGTTGAATACCTCGTTGGTGAAGCTAGCCGGGTAGTTATATACTGGGAACACATAGTGGAAGAGCGGTGGCGGCATTCTTCGAGTGCTATTAGAGGGTTGGCCATACAAGAGCTGGGTGTCCAGGGAGTTGAATGTGGGCGTTGAGCCGTTGAGATGCAGGCTGACGCGCTCTACAACTGTAATTTGAACCGTATCATTGGTGGCGTCCTGGGTGACGTTGAGGAGCGACTGGGCATTCATAAGCACGGTGATATAGCCAGAGAGATCGGGCTCCGTAATGATAATAGACGCCTTGGAGTAGATGGGAAGAGTGAGTGTCATGAAGAACATGGTGCCGTTCAGTGTCGGGCCCATGATGTAGGATTTATTGGAGGTGAGTCCCGTCGGCGCAGGGTTATTAGATTTGAGCGGAAATAAGTTCTGGATCTGTGTGTCCAGGTCGTTCACGGACTGCGAACCGACGACAGAGAAGAGTCGATCGAGCTTGAGGTCGTACACACGCGTCTCGAGGAAGACGTCCGAAGAATCGAGGAACTGCTGGATCGTCAGGATTGCCGAAGAGGTGCTGTCGGTGGTGGCGTTACCTACACGAATATTCATCAACGTCTGCTCCACTGTGTCGCGGGACAGGAGCCAAAACACCTGGTAGTAGAGGTACAGCGAGGACTGCGCGAGCTGCGTGGCCTTGAGCTCAGCAATGATTTCGAGCCGTTCTAGACGAAGGTCAAGAAAGTTTTTAGAGAAATAAACGCCACAGACGATGGAAATGAGCATGAGCGAGAAGAGTGCAACAGAGCAGACAAGAAGGGTGAGCTGCAGCCGGAGGCCGAAATTGATTGGTCGCATGGTGCAGATGGAGAGTGAAGCGGGTGTGCTTTAATGTGTAGAAATGTGTGGGAAAGCGTAGCGTGTGGAAGAAAAAAAATGGAAACACGGACAGAATCAGGACTTGTGAGAGTGGTTGTTTAGCAGGAAATAGAAAACAACAGCGATCTGTAGCTTGATGGTACGGAGATGGCTGTGATAGAAGTATTACAAAAGTGTCGGTTCAATATCAGTTTAATGTCAGTTAAAAGGGCATAAAAACGATCATGCGGCGGTATCAAGATGGATCAGCAAGCGAAGTATTAGTGACAGGAGGGAGATCAATGATGAAACGGCCGACCAGTGGTGACAGTAAAAGGGAGTAAATGAAGATGGATTAGGGGCGGTTAATTAACTTGATTAATTGTGATGCGGCGTTCACCAATGAAGAAATATCACAGGGTTAACAATATCTCTCAGTAATGGTGAAAGTATAAGCCAAGTTTCTGGGTGCTGTGATAGAAATTCCCAAGTAGGGGTTCTCGTCTTGTGTGGCTAGTTGGACGGAGACAGAACGGCCTTGGTATGCAAATAAGTTGATGGCGCTGCGACGATCAGGTGTGCCACTAGGTTATTGACAATAGGTGATATAGTATCAGAGGCAGGAATGTTTCTGCAAAGGATATGGTACTGTTTCTCCTGAGATGATGGATATGAGGCAAAAATTAGCTGTGAATCGGTTGTAGTTCTGAATCCCGAGATTTTTATGCATGGATAACAGAACTGCTAGCTGACTACTCGGGCGAAATAAAAAAAGGAACGTGCAGTAATTATGTAAGCAACTGCACAGCGACGTCAGTGTGAGTAGGAGGAACCGTGTAGTGCCAGATCGGGCGAGGGAGATTGTAGCACGAACGGAGCTGAGACCGCGTTAGATATATATATTTTGAATCACATTGATGAAAGATGGAGTATAATCAAAGTTTTGACCCTAATTATAATCTATATGGGAACTGTGGTTGCTGTAACAATCAACTTGAAAGCCCCAAGTTAAGCCACCCCAAGCCTTCTTGACGGGTGGAAAAGCTGTGAATTAGTTGAAAAACAGGGTTACTAAGCCCGTACCAGAAAGAGCTTGAGGTTCAGAATTTTGCGTTTAATTTAACTGGTATTAGCTACTTAGGAAGAAGAAATTTGCACATAGTACTTGATAGCATACCGGAGCATTGTCTAGAGACAAACACTTGTTCCTGTGGATGCATATTAGCAGTTTAGATAGGCCGGGGGATGAGTTAACCGCGGTTAACTAGAAGTGATCTGACTAGAGCAAACATAATATTGGTATGAAGATATAATAGAGCAATTAATTAATCATAGTAGCCTATACATGAGCTACGACTATGATAAGCTTTCTTGAACAGGCATCCCTGGAGACTGAAGCCTTTTACTGATAGGCTAGTATATATTAAATCATATAGCTATTTTCAGTCATATATCAGGTTACCAAGATTTGCGTCCTCAGGGGATGGGTACACGCAGTATATAGTACTCCTCGCTCAATTTAACCCATGACATCCCCAAATACTTAAAACTGAATGAGGCAAGTTTTTGGCCATGTTAAATATAATAATTCCGTAGCCATAGGAATACATCACAGGAAAGTGGAGACGATTAAACGCAAGTACCTCTGCAGGCCGGTCCGAAACATAACCTCCGTCCTTTCAATACACGTTCATAACCCTCTGCTGATTTTGGGACAGGATCTGTCAAAGCGAGCATGTACGTACTTCTTCGGCTTGTATCAGATATAACCGTGTATTTTGGAAATGTTATACGCAAACGATATTCTTGGATACAAAACCGGTGAATTTAAAACTAGAAAGCCCTACAGAAACTTTTCTGATGGAGTGACCGTCGAGTTCAGGTCGTGCCGGACACAACTGTTACCAACCGTGTCCGGCATCGTACGATTTTTCACGCTGAGTCACATTGACCACGACCCTCATAAACCCCGCTTCCCCGCTCCCAACCCCCTACTTCTTTTAGCCAATAACCATGTCCAGAGAATTCACCATCAAAGTGCCGGCGTCCAGCGCCAATATCGGGCCCGGGTTTGATGTGCTCGGTGTCGGTCTCGCGCTCTACTTGGAACTCAAGGTCTCGGTCAACCCCTCGTTTCCATCCACTATCAAGGACCCTAATCACTGCTACTTGTCTTACGACAGTGAGGGATCTGTGCCACTTGGCTCGGACGAAAATCTCATCACGCGCACAGCGTTGTACGTGCTCCGCGCGTGCGCACGCGACGCCACGGCCAAGTTCCCAGAGAACACTCACGTGCACGTGGTCAACCCTATCCCGCTAGGCCGCGGTTTAGGTTCCTCCGGGGCTGCGGTCGTTGCAGGTGTAATGCTTGCGAACGAAGTGGCTGGCTTGGGCTTTGATAAACAGCGTATGCTCGACTTCTGCCTCATGATTGAGCGCCATCCAGACAACATCACCGCCGCGATGATGGGTGGTTTTTGCGGTTCGTACTTGCGCGATATGTCTGCGGAGGACGTGTTGTTACGCGACGTGCCGTTGTCCGAGGTATTGCCAGAAAAGAAGCCGGAGCCAACGTCCTCGGTGGCACCACAGGAACCGCCTCAGGACATTGGGCGCCACGTTAAGTACCACTGGAACCCGGCGGTCAAGTGCATTGCTATCATTCCGCAGTTCGAGGTCTCCACCGCAAGCTCGCGTGCCGTATTACCCGACTCCTACTTGCGTGCGGATGTGATCTTTAACTTGCAGCGCTTATCAGTGCTCACAACTGCGTTGAGTGCAAACCCTCCTGACGCTAAGTTGGTGTATGCGGCTATGCAGGACAAGATTCACCAGCCGTACAGAGCTGGGTTGATCCCAGGGTTGACCGAGATCTTGAGCAGCGTCACTCCGGAGACGCATACGGGGTTGCTTGGGATCTGCTTGAGTGGTGCCGGACCAACGATTTTGGCATTGGCCACCGAGGGCTTTGACGCGATCTCGAGTGAGATTACCGGCAGGTTTAAGAGGGAAAATGATATCGATTGCGTGGTGAAGGTGTTGGAGTTGGCACACGAGGGTGCTGTCGTGGAGTATGTGTAAGCATGAATGGGGGACGCACACGAGCTTGAGCAGACACGCGACTAGTATAGATATGTAGTGGATGTAAAATGAGTGTGTAGCCGAGCTCCAACGAAGAGATGTGAGTTATAAGGTTGTCAATATGTAAGGTCAAAAGGGATTTTTTTTTTCATAGAACGACGGTACATGAATCGGGAAGAAAGATCTGACAGATTCATAAACAGTCTGATAGATGGGGGGATCTGATAGATAATTCCTATGCATTCCATAGACGTCTTTTTCTCCAGAGGCTTGACACGCCTTCGGTTACGTATTTACTTCCCCATCAATCAGATATTTACTCCCCCATCAATTGGTTTTGATTTGGAAGCAAACCCATTATTCACATTATAATAATTAGTGTAGATATACCCGTTCTCCAAAACGAGTGGATACCATCTGCTATTCAGATGCGGTGAGGTATCGCTCTCTTCCCATGCGACAATTGCTGCAATTAGGACTCGCCAATTCCAAGCATAATATTAGGCAAACCTATGCATGATTTGATATTATACCCTCAATCCATCTAGCCAGCTGTTGCAAATAGCCCTGGATTTAGTCGCCTCACATGCACACGGCCAATATTTGTCTGATATGTATATAAGCGGGAACATATTAGTCGGTAGCTGGTCTATTATCGGTT